GCTTAAAAGGCCACATTGGTATTGATTCATTCTAAATAATTAACCAACCATTCATTATAGTGAGAGCAATTGGTATGGCATAAAACTTTCTGACTGAAAAGCAATATTGAGCATGCAACATTAATATCTACACAAAGAGGTAAAAAAGAACCTAAATCTATTTATTGGCCCATAAAGGAGTGTTTTCCTACCTCAGATGTAAGGGGCAAGATTAAGAAAGCTGAGTCATACATACATGTATATGTTATTCTGTTTGCTATGGAAACACCCTGCTGCAGCAAAATTTGTGCAATTGCCATGTTTTGAGAGAAAATAGAATGAAATAGATTAGAAGAGAATAAAGTAACCAACATGGATAGTTTCTCCCCACTGTTGTGTTATACCAGAACTGTTTGATTTTGGTTTTTCAGCAGTTGTGAGAGCAACAGGTTTTAGCAGAAACGTGACTTAGCAGCAAGTGTTTGCTCATAACGCACAGTTATCTCTGAGAGGTCCCTGTATAAGTGGCCTTGTAGAAGTTGAGTACATAAAGTCTTGCAGGATTCCCATGAGTTTCCAAATATGTGGCCCTGTGAAAGTTAGATGTATACAGCCTTGCGGGACTCCCATGAGTTTCTTATGAGGTAGATGGTACTTTCAGAGGTACCAATGTGGCAGGAAACCAGGGCTCATGCTGCCGCTGAGCTAAAGCAGTAGAGGGGATGGCGGCTTCTCTAGGATCTAACACGTCCTGAAGCAGACCAACACTATGTCCCAACGCACTGGTGTTGGGATGTCTGCCCCCGGTGCCTGTCCGGGTCAATAAAGCAGTTAAGCATCATGTATGTTATGTTGAGCATTCTCAACCAACAAATGTGGGAACTCCCACGAAAGACCAAAACAGATCTAAAGAGACACTTAACAACATTGGAAAATAGACTTCAATTTGTTTATATAATTTATAAAGCGTATATTATTGCCCACGTTAAGGGGCCTGTTAATAATTTATTAAATTATTAGCTATTTTAGATTTAATAATAATAATAATTACAGCACGGTATTTGTAATGGTCGAAGTTCCTAATACTCGCCAAAGATGGTTCCTCTCCAGTCAATCGTAGGAGAGGAGAAAGCTAAACAAAAAATTAGGTGGCTACATTTAGTTTTGATTTTATATTAGTAGGTCCTAGATTTTATCCCTGTTGCATTAAAGTTTTAAGAGTATTCTCCTTAAAATATTTTAATGCAGTCACCCAGATTGCAGATAAGTTTTATAACAGAACACTTCAATAAAGACAGTCTCTCAGATAAGTTTTATAACAGGACACTCCAATTAAGACACATACTCTGCCCACAATAAGGGGCCATAATTGGTTTAATTGTGTAACTGTTTACAATGATTATATCAGGTCTCAATAAGAGGTCTCAACTGCCTAGCTTAGGCATCAAACCTTGGCAATCGATAATTTATTATTTTGGGCCAAGTAAAAGTTCGCAGCTTTAACTTTGCATATTCCTGTGCTCTGATTGGCTGGATTGTCACGTGAAACCAATAAGCTTTATACTTGGAACAAATATTTTTATATATACATAGTTTAACGGGTGATAAAAAAAAATATTCAAACAATATACACATAATATAGCAATGACCCTATATAAAATTCTGTAAAAATGGTACAAATTTAAAAACTGAGGTAAAAATAAAAATAAAACCCTTTGTAATAATATATATAAAATCCACTAAATCACATCACAACAAAAAGCAGTTTAGACCCCCATCCAACTAGAGCACTCCATGACCTTTTAGGGTTTAAGAGTGTTGATCGGGTGATACTCCTAAAATGTTTGTTCCAATTTGGGGTGTGTCCTGGTAGGTTGTAAACCTACAAATACATAGTATAAGGAAGTTAATGTAAATTTATTATCTTGTTAGTTTTAATATATGCTTTTGTTAATGATTGGGTTAGAGTTAGGGTTGAAATTATATAAGAGGATTACGGTTTTGATAAATTGTTGACGGCCAGCTAGAGAACAAATTGAAAAAATTACGTGACAGCTAATAGCAATAGCGCGCGACTGCGAGTTTATATTACTTGTGAAACAACAATTGTATTTTACTTATAATCTATACTTGACATACGTTACATGCCACTTTTCGCGCGTATTGGGATACGTAACATGTATCAAAGGTATACCAATGTACTTTTTATGCTGATTTTAAGTAAAATTTATTACTTAGTATTGAGTATAAAAATCATTTTTTGAAGAGTTATGAGAAAATAACCATTTTTGTCAAACGCGCGCACGTGACAAGCTTGTAAAACGATATTTTAGCTGTTTATGCTTTAGGATTCGACTCAGTTATGGTTTCAAAGTAATTTTGATGTTAATATAAAAATTTGAAGTACAGATTTGTTTGATTGACGATGTCAACCCTTCCAGATCGTTGCTCTGCAAGGCAAAGCAACGATCTTGTCATGTCTATGCGAAGCATGAATGCTTGTTTGCGCGGCGCGTCGAAGCGGCGAAGTCCTCCAAACAGATTTGTGCACTTTAATTTTAAATATACTTACCGCATAAAAATCAAAATTAGCATTTACAAATATACACAGAACGGTCCAAATTTAATCGCCACCGAGGTGCATCTCACCAATCTAACGAAGGTTGCGAAAAGCATTATTGGATGCGCGGCGCGGCCTTATCTGGGGACACCAGGATTTTATCACACTCATTATGTACAATATTTTCTGTCAAGGAATTTTTTATCACACTCATTATGTACAATATTCTTTGTCAAGGATTTTTAAAATTATTGTAATTCAAATGATATAAGCTATAATCATAATGACAATAATAGTTGTCATAATGTTAAAAACAAACTGTTGAAACATGACATCAGCCAACTTAATATAAGCCACATGTGCGATGTGGGAGTAGGTTACTAGACAGTGTTATTGTTACTCACTTTGTATCCAAAAGGACTGACCATCGCCGATATGCGGTGGAAAGAAATAGAAACAAATCCAATCCAGAAAGCCAAGAACACAATACAATGAACGATGTAAAACAATGTAATGAATAATAAAGTCATTTCCATGTTCCAGCTGTTGAAAGTGTTGAAACCCTGTTCTTGGGTTAATTAAATAACAAATAATACTCAATTATTATAAATACAAATTAGATGAATAAAGAGGTTATACAAATCTTGTGTCAAAAGTAACCTTGTTACTCTACAATGTACTCTCTTAAATAGTGAATGATTGATATGGTGTGACTCAGTAACTCACACTACTCTGCTCTGACTAATAGTTAAAACACATTTCAATACTAAACTAAACAATGTCTTTTTTACTATTAGATTAAACTACTATTAAATTAAAACTACTACTCCTGATGATGATGTTCTTCTTACTATATGAGGTACTTCTGAATGATGAGGACTTCAACTAAACTGGAACTGATAACTATAATAAAAACCCTGGGGGAAAACTACCGTGAGTAAAGTGAAAGGTAATCCACGTGAAACTATAAATGAAAGTGAAAGAGGAAGCGGGAACTCCTAGACTAAACTACTAAACTATAACTATAAACTACTTACCACTCTTTCCACGTCACAGAACACAGATAGTATCTGTCGACTGGAATCTGTGGGATCACTAAAACAACGTCACTCCTCTCCCTTCTGCTACGCTAGAGTCTGGAGTCGACAACGTCACTCCTCTCCCTTCTGCTACGCTAGAGTCTGGAGTCAACTAAACACTGGACACTCCTCTCTCTTCTGTTACTTCAACTAGAGTCTGGAGTCGAGCCTTGTCTGCCTTCTGGAGTCCCTTTACCCCAACACTGTATATACAATCACTGGAACTAAACCTTTGCTAAAGTGAGATACAGGGTTAGTAATATGAAGTACAAAAACAAGCTACAAATAGAATTAAGATTCTAACAGAAAGTCTTGATCTTGAATCTTTTTGTGTTCTGGATTTGTCTTGCCTCTCTTTCTTTTAGTCCTTTCAGTCCTTTCTTGTTTCTACAAAGTGATGTCAAACCTTTTCGATATAAATTACGGTCGAAATGCTTAAAATTACACTGTATTACTTGTTAAATCTATTAATGGATGTCTGACTTAAATGTGACAGATTTGGCAATAACCACTATATTGATGTAAGGATGCTGGATACGTAATACAAAACATAATATATGGAACATATACAACAGCAAGACAGCTAGATTATAGATTAATGATAATAATTGTCAAATGTCGTTATATATTATATAACAGTTATAAATGTTCAATAGTTGTAGAGCGACTTCAAGAGTAGTGGTCCACAGGGGTCCGAAAAAGCCGTACAGGCACTTGGGTCCTTATCCTTGTCACTAATCTCAATTGGATTCGGTTTACACAAAGCATGAACATTTAGACGTACACATTGACACGATATTTATTAGAAAGCAAAAAGTATAAAATAATACGTGCGTGCGCGGCCTGAGCCGCGCCGCATAAGAACGGATGCGTGCAGGGGCTGGAGTTGGGAGTACGCTTGTATGTAAATTAATGAAATGTTGCATTGTAAATATTTAGAATTGACGATATATTTTGATCTAAAAGTAAATTTTACAAAGCTGGCTTTGGATTTAGGTAAGATTATAATTTATTTAAAAAAAAAACCACGGATAATTTTAAATTTATTTCTATTTGTCGTATAATCATAAACAATTTAATCATGTTTTTAAGAATGCGCGGCTTTGGCGGCCAGTTATTGACTTATACATTAAATTGAATTTTAAATAGAAATGTGAATATATTAAAATTTAAAACTTTCAAAACGGAGGCTTATAAATATTATTATATTATGATTGTAAAATAAAGGATAAAATTTTAAATTTGTTTCAAAAAAAAAAAAAAAAAAAAAAGTTTTGTCCATATTCTGACCTTATTGCAACATGTAGTATGCCGGTAAATTTAGAGAAATTTAGCTTATGATAAAAATAAATTTTATGAATTCAATGTAATACATCTTTCAGATTGTCATAACAAATGCATTCCAAATGTGAATGCCTATTTCTTCAAGGAAAAGTGGAGTCTTTAGATGAACTTGCTTCAGTTACCCGAAGAGGTTCTATTGGCTGTTGCCAATTTTCTTCCCATTTCTGACTTGCTTTACTTCTCATCGACATGTAAATGTTTTAGAAGAATATGCTTTCCTTTGTATCAAAATTTATCACTTGTGTTACCAAATTGTGATGTTGATGCTTGTTTTGAAACATGGATTGGATGGCATCAATTCAAAGTTGTATTAAATCTTAGCAAAGGGATTCCATTCTATGAACAAGGGCCTGTTTTTGAACTTGTTAGGCATTGTACGGAGCTCATCATTGTGAATGGTACCAAAAACTGGGAAGTAACTGTATTTCCTGCCATTATTGAGTGCAACATCAGATCAGTTCTTATAAAAAACAGCTTATGCCACATAGAACAGCTTTACCAAAAGTGTCCATATGACTTATTATTCGAAAAGTCTCAACTTGTCTACTGTGTTAAAGAAGACCGATCTACGTATCAGAAGTCCATTAAGATAGATAAGTTATGTAAAAAGGAATCATTCAAAGTTAGCAATTGTATCAATGTGTCTGAAAATACTAAGCGTATTGATGATGATGTGCTTAATGCAATGTTGTGTGTCCAGCATGATCAATGTATCTTCTCACTGTCATATCTTAATTTGGATGGCACGAATATTTCAGATCAAAATGTATTCATGATTTCCAACTGTTATCCTAATATTGTGACCTTATCATTGAAGAATTGTTCAAACTTGTCTGGTAGTATTATGAATGCAATTGGGAGAATGTCTAGCCTAAAGAGCTTGTGTGTTGCAGGATTAAGGGATTTAAAAAGTCTGGTTCAGCTATCAAGTTTGCATCATCTTCGAAGTCTGGATGTCTCAAATTGCAAACAGCTGAACGATATCACAGGGTTAATGGAGATAATTAACAATTTTGAAGTTTTAAAGTTATCAGGAATTCCAGCTTCCCTTGAAATATTGTCTGTGTTTGATCTACAAAATCTTAAGGAGTTAGATATACAGAGCTGCTACCAGGTGTCAGATGCCTTATTAGGAAGGTTGAAGCTTCCAAATTTGTGCTCATTAAACCTCAGCAGTTGTGTCCGTGTCACTGATAAGATGTTACGAAATGTAATATTATGCAGATCAGATCGTCTTCTTAATGTGAACCTGTCTTGGCTGAAGAAAATAACTCCTTCATTTTTTGAGGAAACTTCAATGGCATCAAAACTATTCTGGCGGGTAGAAAAGCTTATTCTATGTAACATGAATATCAATGATAATTGTTTATCAATTATTCAATCCTGCAAACCTTTATCGTTGCATACACTTAATGTTGGTTTGTGTAAAGAAATATCGGACAATGGCTTGCTTAAGATCGCCCAAATTCCGACTATAAAAGATTTGGATTTGTCTCATCTCTGTAAAATAACAGACCTTGGATTGAAGATTCTTGCCAATCGACTTTACAGACTGAGAGAATTGAAGATTACAGGGTGTATTGGAATTACTGATAAAGGGATTGATTCTTTAAAGGTTTGTAAACGTTTACATACCTTAGAGTGTGCTCAATGCTGCAAGATAACTAATAAATCTGTTGAGGATCTATCAGAAACTTTGCTCAAACTTCGAAATGTGGCATTTGTAAAGAAAATCCATGTGGTATTGTAAATCTTTGGGTTGTTTGGAAAATCTTATAATATGGTTTGTTAAGTTTTTAAAGGAGCACAAATCTTTCAACAGTGACCCTGTGATCCACCCAAGTTTATAGGTATTAAAATTCATTTGATACTGTGTGCGTTCATATTTTAAAGTTCAGCATAGTTTTGTAAATATTTTTGTACATTAAAATTAAAAATGTACAGTCTGTTTGATAATCAATAATTTGTAAATAATTGTTACTTGTTAACTTGTAAATTTCATATTATATTTGTTGAACTTTTATTGAATTGTGCTGAATTGTGTTGAATTTCTTTCACTCAGATGATGGTATCATGCTTCAACTAAATTAATCAAGCAACATGCTCTCTCACAGCAGCTTTCAACTAAAAGGCTGTCCCGCTTCTAAACCGATATATGCTTCATCCCCACACCAATAATAAATTAAAATGTCAATTATAGTTTGTATTGATTAATTGTGATTTAATAGTTATTTTCAGGCACACTATTATCATGGCCTCATTACCTGACGAAAAAGCTGCAAGAACACGTGAACTGTACGATAGAATAAGCCTGGGCATCGTTCGGTCTCTCGAGAAAAGAACGGGTGTAACAGATGTAAAACTACTGGACCGTAAGCCGGCTGATCCAGCCCGAATACAAGAATGGGAACAAGAGCATGTGTGTGCCCTCCCTGAAGACATCAAGAACTTCTACATTACAACAGACGGTCTCCTGCTGTGCTGGAGTGTTAAGTTCAATGGATCTGTCACTCCATTAGGTAGGATGGAAGTGAATCCACTCGCAAACTTGAAGCGTATAACAATCCCTCAGTGCAATAAACACGGTGCAACACAGAGCGTATCAGTGGAGGACACAGGGTCAGATGATGAGGACAGCAAGGCTCGGCCCAGCTTCTCTCAAATAGAAAGAGCTTTTGAAATAGACGCTTGTTGCTCTCATGGGAAGGTTTGTTTGGTTTATGAAGTTGGAGAAGGTTCAGATCCCAAGATTTGGTTTCTCGACAGAGCTGTCCGCTGGCACTTCCTAGCTTCTTCCTTCATGGAATACTTCAGACTTATGGTTATGCATCTCGGACTACCACAGTGGCAGTATGCTTTCACTGACATAGGACTCTCTCCTATGTCGAAGCAGTGGTTTAACTTGTATGCACCTGTCCGTCTTGCTATTGATGATGAGCAACTCAGCAGACATTTGTCGGACACCGATGCTGATATTGTTGTTGCAGACAAGAATTACTCCATTGGCAAGATTGATATTGACAGACTTTTCAAACTTACAAATGATAAAACCAGAGACAAACCAGTCAAGAAGAAGCCCCAACCAGTGCCATCTCCACAGACAAGCAACCAGAAACTTACATCAACAAGGCCCTCACTCGCACATCTTGCCTCAAAACGACATACCAGATGACATTAGGTGATCATATTCTTGTCTCATATTCGAGCCCATCATGGTCAACAAAGCCTTTTTTATGTGTTCTATGTGCATGTTCTTATTACCATTTTATTCACTCAGCTTTATTTGCTCCTTATTTCATTGGGGGCAACTCGTTTTGACGATCATTCATGACCGATTAATAAACTAAATAGATAGTTAGGCAGTACTATTTATATTAATGGACTTTCTGTTTTCGGATATTTTTAAAGAAACATCCGAACATCGATACAAAGTTATTTTTCTGTTAATTGTACTAAAAATTCAAATAAGTATTATTACGTCTATTGAATTATAGTGTAATTGAAATTATTCAAACACATGATGGTCGACTTGTTAAACAGGATTCCGAACATTGCTTGTTATTTTGACCATGGTATTGGTATGTTGGCTGATAAGTAAAATTCAGTTAGTGGAACAGCTTCCTCATGACAGAAGAAGACATTCAGCTTGATGAAGTACAGGACCCTGATCATATTGACTACGACTATGTACCTTACGGACAGATAGAACACGAGACTAGGGATGAAAATAAACCGGAGGTGGATTTCGATGAGCAGGTTTGTGAGCTGACAGTATATATATAATAATTATATAATTAATTAATAATTTAACGAAAGTTTAACGCCACTGATTGATTGGTTCTATAAAGTACCACTGAATATTATTCTTCAGGCTAGACTAACGTCAGTAAAGCACCTGTTTTCCAAGTTAGACCCAGCAGTGGTTAAAGCACAGGGGGATGCAATAGGAGAGATAGGTCTGGCACTCAGATACAGACAGGATAAGGAACTTCTGATGATAAGGGTTGTGTCTGCTCATGGCCTTGCTTCAAGACAAGTTGCCAGGCTATCTGTTGATCCGCAGGTAGCCTAATATTCGTGTTTTTATGCTGTATTACAACTCTTATATTTTAAATTGCTCAATGCAATTTATAATAATATACAGGGTGGGCCAAAAGTCAGTGGGCATACGTTGGCCTTAATAGCTCAGTCACTGAGTGACCAATTGAAATAATTCTTTCTGGTACGACTTACTACCACCACTGGTTCGAGGAATTTGTCAAATCGAAAAATATTAGAGTTCTTTTTTTTAAATGAAGGTTCATTTTTACATTTATTTGATAGTTTGGATTATAAGATTATAGTCAGAACGAGCTAAATTTTATTGAATTGTCAAATTGTGTTTGGCCATTCGAATTACGTTTGTGCTGAACAAATTACAGTTGTAGCTTCTCGTATGGCCGAGATACGAAGCATAACGAGTTAATTCATTACGTGTGATCAGGTGATTGGCTTACCTAATCACGTGATAAGGTCACCCCGTTAACCATTATTAATCAACTATATACAGCAAACACAAGATAATATAAATTAAATCATAAAATCGAGTGGCCGAGTAGTCTCGACTCACCCATAGCTTCTCCATAGACGTCTATCATGAGCTTTGTACACTAAATCGTTGAAATTACTTAAACTAAATCTTTTATTTACAATCACAATAATTTGTTTTGTCATAATGTCTTTTAATAATAAATAAAATAAATTTGAACGAGGTCTGCCCCTACTTCCTTTGTAGTCAAAACATCCTAAACATGCAAATCTGAAAGATAAGAAGGCGGGAGTGTCATCACCGCTTCTGAGAACGTGCCCAAGCATCTTCCATCTTGCTTTCTTGATCCTTTCAGTAAGGGGTCTGACATTACATCTCTTATATAAATTCTCGTTACTGATAACCGTAGGCCAATAGGTGTTGATTATCTGTCTCAGATGCTTCCTTTGAAGAACGTCGACAGATGCCATTACGGTTTCAGGAGCAGCCCAGCTGCTACAGTTATACAACAACACTGAAGTCACAAGAGCTTCGTACAACTTCAGCTTTCTACTCTCACTGATCTGAACAGAACTATTCAACCAGACTTTCTTGTAGGTGTAGAAGGCAACATTGGCTTTGTTGCGTCTGTTGACAATATCTCTTTCTGAACAGAGCTTTGATCCTAATAGCACTGACTCTCGCCACTCTTCATCTCCTCTAATTTTATTGCCATGGGCATCTAAAGCATCTGTATCTGCCAAATACACTCTTGTAAACACCGTCTTTGATTCGTTAACAAAGAGACTCCAATCCTTTAGTATATCACTGGCAATCTCTAGTATCTTCACCAGGCTCTGACCATCTTCACTCAGAAGCTCAGCATCATCAGCATAGGCGGACTCTAACGGGAGGCCTCTATCAGAGACTGGGGGGTTCGGTCTAGGAATCGTGACACTGATCACGGCTCTGATGTGATTCAGGGCACCGGCAAGGGTCAATGTAAACACTTTACCTGCCAGACTGTCTCCCTGGTAAGCGCCAATATTAATCACAAATTCACCAGACTCAGATCTGTTGACCGTCACCTTGAGCTTTGTATTTGAGAGGAGGTACTGAACTAGGCGAATGTCGTCTCTAGAGCATCCTGCATCAATGAGGAGGTTGATGATGGTCTGTCTGCGGATAGTATTAAACGCAGCGGTCATGTCAATGTTGATTTTACTATACTCAAACTCGCGCCTGGTAACCACTGATGTCAACATTCTCTGAGACCATACCAGGTCAGCACAACTGCGACCCTGCTTGTATGCCGCCTGCCAAGGTCCAGTGTACATATCAACGTGGTAATTGATTCTGTTAAAGGCTACGAGGGATAGGACTTTTCTAGTTCCATTTAGCAATGTGAGGGGCCGGATAGACTTTATCGGACCTCGGGGTTTTCCTGGCTTCTGAAGGGGTGTCAGGATACCTTCTCCAATAGCTGGGATGTATGTGTTGGTCTCAAAGGAGAGATTGTAGATCCTAGCCAACTCACAGTGGAGGGGATATCCAGCAGCTTTCATTAGCTCATTAGGTATACCGTCAGGGCCACACGCTCTACCGGATTTCAGCTTCATAACAGCACGGCCAACTTCTTCAGGTGTTATGGGACAGAGGAGGCTTCCAGGAGGGTCTATGAATGCTGGGAGGTGGGGTTCATCTTTGTCATTGAACTCATTATTAAAGTATTCTTTAATAGCTTCTGCTTTTAATGAGTCAGAACCTAAGGTGTTCCCGTCTGCATCGTGGACAGTCACTCCGTCTTTCTTCATCCTACACTGGGCCAAAGTTCTATTCGCTTCAAACATGCTTCTGCAGCTGTCGGTGTTGTTGATGACATCTACTAGGGCGTTAGCTGCGGCCTCATTGATGGATTTCAACCTCTTTTTGATGGTACGTTTGAGATGGTTGATTCTTTTTCTGAGGTCACTCCTGTCGCTTATCCCTGTGAGACTACATTCTTGCTGAAGGGACTTTCTCTCTGCTGAAAGTTTAACGACAGTTGGATCGTCGCTGTACTGATGAGGCTTCCCCGGGGGCACTTTACCAACCACCTGGACGGCACATTTACTCAATATACCAAATATATCAGAATTTTCAGAAATAGCATTATTAGTTAAAACTCTACAATCAATATTACTTTTAAAGGAATCAAAAAATTTAGACTTAATATCAGAATCATTAAGGCGATTGACATCAAACCTTATTTTGTCAGACCTGGGCCGCTTATGTACAATGTATTCACAACCAAGTTTAAAACGTGCGACCACAGGTTTATGGTCAGATTTCACAAAATCACCGCAAAAAGAGCGGGAGTCTGTTAAACAGACTTTAACGTTAGTACGACATAAAATATAATCAATTTGTTTAAAATAGTTCACAGTGTCTTTTGAACCCTTGGGTCTACCCTTGGGAACACATCTAGCCTTCCAGGTGGTAATATGCTTCGCTCTGTGTTGAAACGCAGTATTGCACGCAAACAGACCATTATCAACAATAAAGTCCAGTAGGAACTCACCGTTCCTGTTCCTCAGACCATTACCGAACTGACCAATATGATTATTAAGGCCAGCATCATACTCTTTCCTGCTGCATCTCCCAAGGCGGGCGTTAAAATCACCAGCAACAAACAAATCGAATCGAGCTGGGATATTGATAGCAGTTTTCAGATCATTGAAATATGATTGTAACAATGGGGAGTTACCTGTGACCCTACTGATGTCATCATCGACAATCTTCTTGGTTGGTCCGTACACGTTAACGATCCTGATCATACGATGAGATCCGTTGTGTTCTGTGAGTCTTATATCAATGAAAGCCACTCTGTTACTAAGTGATCTCCATGCAACAATAGAAGGTACAAGGGCTGGGCAGATTAGAAAACCGAGACCATAATGATACCAATTGTCTGATTGGGCTAGTGTTACAAGTTTGTGACCGTCAATAATTGTTTCCTCGAAGTCTCGGCATTTTGTCTCTTGGAGACACACTACATCAAAATGATAACGTTCAGCGTCACTTACTAAATGTTCTCTCCTAAGAATGTTACCTTTAATACCATTGAGGTTCCAACTTGAAATGTTCAGAGTCGAAGACATCGGCATAAGGAGAAGTAAGGTGAGCAAAGGTAGACTTCTAGCGAGCACGTCTGTTACAACTGCCATTCTGCTAGCGGGGGGCGACACTCCATTCCATCCTGACATTAACCATGAACCCATTAAACATTATGGGAATCGTTAAGGCTGCCCAATTAAGGTGTCGTGTCACGGTGTCACATAATCACCCAGTCAATTTTGTTAACGAGATACACAAAATTCTTGATAACTTCGTCATTTATAATCTGTTTCACGTCATTTTTTCAGATCAGATGCAACATGTAATAATCTACCGTATCTGAAAAAATTAGGCGTCCAGTATGTTCAGAGAGAACAATATAGGTGTTTTAATTTTGAATGGGCGTGGTCTAAAATATTCGAATTTTCAAATTTTGACGACGGAATCCTTGAACCAGAAGGTACAGTATGTCATCTGAAAAGCAACAGCTCTTAAATATAAAGCACGGCGGAGCTATTAAGGCCAACACATGCCCACTGACTTTTGGCCCACCCTATATTAATTTATTAATGCAAACTCAAATTTTATGACACCCTGCTGTACCGATATAATAATTTATCCTCTATTTTAAATCTGAGACTAAGATTATTGGTATCAATAACCGTGAACCAAATTGGTGATTGACTATTACACATTGGTCGAAATATTTGTCTAACGAGCTAATAGAAATGTAAAGGTAGAAGTGAAACTACTAGACTCAGTTGACGAGGACATGATCCGAACCACTATAAAGAAGGACTCAAATAATCCAGTCTGGAATGAGATCCTCACCTTCAAAGTAGACGAGTATTCTTTAGAGGGAACTCGTGTCTTGTTCAGGTAGCTATTTTTATATTATTATCTTTCTATATTATACATAGTGATGATGTAGGCGATTTTCGATTGCAACTGTTAATTAATTAAGTTTCGTTATTTTTTTATAAATTAAAGGTTTTAAAACATCTGATCCAGGGTGGTGGATGGAAGTGATGTTATTGGAGAACTCATGGTGCCTCTAGATTGGGATGTTCTTGATGGAGAAACAGAGTGGTTCGACCTTCAAGACCAGGTTGGTGACCTTCTGTAAACTTAAATTAGCTGTATAATGTACAATGTACAATACACAATGTATATAACACAATGTATAACATTGTAGAGCTGCATTTCGAAAGTTAGTGAGTGAGATAGGTTTTAAGTACAAGTTAAAGTCATTCTTGGAATTTATGATTAAAAAGCACTGATTTTTAATTTCAATTTGACATAATATCATAAAGATAAATAAGTAATGAACTCTCATCGCAATATCTATCTTAGTCTGATTTATTGTGAATTAGAAACGTTGCGGCAGTTGGAAATCTTGTCACGAGAGATATTACATTTTGAAAGTGAAAAATAAACCTTAATCAACCTTAAATGTTAATGCGTCAACAACGATGTATTTCAAATTGCAACTGTGTAGTGTGTGTACGATTAACATTTTTGAAACAATATTATATATAATATACTAGTTCACGTAAGAAAATCACACATTCAAATCTTTACGAGAGATAAATTTTGCTCAGAAATCCCACAAAATCATAACTGTAAAACACGTGATTAGGTTAAATATTAATTGTTTTTATTTATTGGGTTTATTAGAATAAACTCAAAACTGCAAAATTTAGTCCACTGATCTAAACAAGGCAATATGAACGAGTGGGCGAAACAATAATCATCTTTCAATTACCAATTATCATCTTTCAATTACCAATAATCATCTTTCAATTACCAATAATCATCTCTCAATTACCAATAATTATCTTTCAATTACCAATAATTATCTTTCAATTACCAATAATTATCTTTCAATTACCAATAATTATCTTTCAATTACCAATAATCATCTTTCAATTACCAATAATCATCTTTCAATTACCCTCCTCCAAGAGAGTTGTACCTGATATCAACGTGGTATTTGTTGTAGAGTGAACACCTTTGTTTATACCTAATAATAATAATACATTGTTTATACCTAATGAAATGAAATGAAATAATGTGCTTGTATACCGCTCATATGGTTAGCAACTGACACAAATGTCAGGTACTAACCATGTCAGAGCGGTTTTAAAGTTCTAGTAATAATAATAAATTGAAATTTAATAACACCGCTTTTAAGATAAAACTTATACTCAGCAGTGTTTAAACTAGTCATCCCAGAAAATAACAGGAATACTAAGTTAAGAAAAGCTTATTATGCTTGAAAATATATCGTCAATACTAAAGCCAGAAAAAGGTTAAGAAAAGTAATACCTTTGTGTTCAATAACTTTTTTCTCTTTGTTTATCCGACCCAAGGAAATGTGATACTGGGTTTTGCGCCAAACTCCTGTGTTATTATACATGTTATAATCGCTTTATAATTGCTTTATAATTGCTTTATAATTGCTTTATAATTGCTTTATAATTGCTTTATAATCGCTTTATAATTGCTTTATAATTGCTTTATTGAAAGTAATGCTATTTTAATTTATAAGCGATTCGCTCAACAAGATTTCGGTTGACATTTTTTCTTTGTCGTTTTAAGTAGAAAGAGTTACCTGAATTGAGTAATCGTTGCCTTTTGGAAGCTAGGAAGGTCCTTACGTTGCCCATTCTAAACGAATATAGCCAGGAATTGAACATCGGACCAAGGAAGACCAACATTCTTGCCGTCATTAGATAATACTGTGGTATTAATTAATGTTTTAAATTATTGATTTCCAAAAATTACTCAAATTCTTTTTGCTTAAGGTGTGCCGTTTATAATTGTAATAGCACTTTTTCTGCCGACAAAATCAAATTGGCAAAGTTAACGTTAGGGCATTGCATGCGATCATATAATAATGCCGTTCAGCTTCAGTTGATACGCCTCCGTTTGAGCACTGGGGTAGCACCCCCCCGCCCCCCTTTCTACTTACATCATCAAAACTCCCACAAGTAGGACACACCCTCATCCTTATCTGATGACAGCGAAGTGGGAGACTAGAGGCTAGGATCAATACTCCTTGCATCATGGAGATAATACATGTTGTTCTAATACCTCTGGCTACTCTGAGGTTGGGAGTCGTTATCAACTGATAATTTTTCAAGATTCCAAAGAGAGTGGATCTCTAGACTTTAGTTTTATAAACTTTGATCACTGCAATCATTTGCTATTCACAATAAATGTACATATGTACACAATGTATACAATGTACAATAAATGTACAAGTTTTGACATAATTAAGGTGCTAGAGAATAATTGTCACGGCCGAAAATGATAATCTTCCAATTTCAACATGATAAAAAATACGGCACTTAAAACAAACTCACTCCTTTTGCCTGTCGGAATTGTTCTTCTGAAAGCTAGCACTCCTGATGAGCATATTAACAATAACCGCACAAGTTCCCACCATCGCAGCTACCGCTAGCAGTAAAATAAGAGGGTTTGAAATGTTCTCCCAGGTCTTGTAGAATTCTGAGTGTTTCCAGTTGGGCCCCAATTGTAGAGTACAGCCTGATAAGTAAGAAGTGAGGTGTTAAGAGTTAATTAGTTAATTACTTTAATTAGTTTATTAGTTTATTAAGAGGTGTTTAAGGGGACATATACGAAAACCTTTTATGTCGGGACCCGAGATTTGACTTCATATTATTAAAGTATACATAAAAACAATAAGATTTGATACATTTAAAGGTACTTAAATAATTGTAATTTACCTAAAGGCTAAAGATAAGGGATTAAAGGCGTGACATACCATAAAAATGATTTAGTAAATAACACAATTGATCACCTGATCAGTAACTACACGAGTTTTATTCCATTAAGGATACATCTTGCCACTACAAAATAACACTCCAGATTTCGAAATTCGGTGAATTTCTTGTTAGAATTAATCTTTCTATTGTTGTTCCCAACAATAAACAATTTGTACGTCTTCAATGAGGCCATCATGTCATGAGACCCATGATATAGAGTATTATAGACTAGGGAGGTGTTCTAGAAATCCTTGATAAAGTAAAAAGGCGTAATTATAAATTAAAACCATTCTTACTCATGAAGATTTTGATGTTAGCAACGTGTGCTCCGTTATCATCATACATGCCGGCGTGTGAGCAAAGAAACACAGATTTTCCAGTAATACCTCTACTTTCACTATCCTGCATGGTGACTCGGGCAGCAATGATATACGGTAACGTCAGTGTGAGAAAGGGAACTGCAAAACAGATGAGGAGGCTTAGGAACATGATGGACGGTTTGAAGAAGTAGGTGATGGGTCGGCAGATGTGTCCTGCTCTGTCCAGACATATAGATACAACTAGGAGGAGCTGAGCCCAGACTATCAGATCGAGTAGGGGGTCTACTGCTACGCTGCAAGTTAGATTATTAGACTGTAAGTTAGATTATTAGACTGCAAGTTAGATTATTAGACTGCAAGTTAGATTATTAGACTGTAAGTTAGATTATTAGACTGTAAGTTAGATTATTAGACTGTAAGTTAGATTATTAGACTGTAAGTTAGATTATTAGACTGCAAGTTAGATTATTAGACTGCAAGTTAGATTATTAGACTGTAAGTTAGATTATTAGACTGCAAGTTAGATTATTAGACTGCAAGTTAGATTATTAGACTCTAAGTTAGATTATTAGACTACAAGTTAGATTATTAGACTGCTTTGAAGGCCATTTTGGGGACACCTACCTGGGCCGAAAGTCCTTACAAGAATACAAAATCTTAGGTCTTGGGGCTGGCGTTTGTGATACGAACGAATCATAGTGCATACTCTAATCTTGGAGCTTCTGCTTTCTCACGGAAAGGAAGCTGTACTTACAGGTTATACAAACTGGACGCAAGTATGGTGTTGGTAGACGAGAAACAGATCGCTGCAGGGATTCCAACCATCAATATTTGAAGGAAGTCCACGAAGGATAGAGAGAAACAAAGCACATTGGATAACAGGTAGGGGTTTTCGTACGTCATTATTTTCTGAAACAAAGCAGAAATTGCTCATCAACCATGGAGATAAATAAATAAATAATAAAAGATCTAGATGAAGATTAGTCATGATTATTAAAGAAAATTGGATTGATAATGATATGCTCTTCTATCCTGAAACTAAGACCTTAGTTGATAAACGAAGTTTTTTGTTGTTACCTTGAAGTTCCGGCGGTCGAAGACAGCGTAGAAAGAACAGACGTTCCCAAGTAGAGTGATAACGATCACCGCCCACAGAACCCATCCGATTACTTGGAGATCGCTTGAAGTTAAAGTTTTTAGTGACTCAACTTGTTCGACGTATCCAGTAGCTATATATATAGTAGTAGATACGAAGGAAGAGGATGTTGAAGCAGCATCAGAGATACCAGCATTAGTGGTGGCAGCATTATTGGTGGCAGCATCAGAGGTGGGATCAACGGCAATGTAGCTCTTCATGTCCGCAGTGTCGGAGACAATGCCTGCCATAGTCTGGAGGTTCTAGAAAACACGGAACGTAAAATTTATGAACAAAACTATATATCACAGTTAAAGTGAATTCACAAACTAAGGGGAAAAATGACGACAGAAACTACTTAAATGAAGAATTGGTGCCATTCGTGAGCTAAAAAGGTCAAAAAGATCAGAAAGGTGTAAAACAATACTATTCATGACGCAAGGTTTCTATAGTATAATGAAGTAATAGCAATACCAGAATAATTTTTAAATTACTTGGTACACACAAATGTACGCCCTGTTTAATAAAGCACGCTCCCAGGTTCTGACTCTTGGCTTGTTAAAAAGGACCATGCACTTGGAAAGATGCCAGAAAGAAGGACATATTAATATTGCAGTGCGGCGGTTAGATTAGAGCAATTTGTTCGCCCTCCTCAAATCCTCAAAATAAGTCCTATATGAGCACGTGATGGTAGTCATAGTAACACGTGATGCGTTAAAACTGTGGAGGCCCTCCTTAGCATCCAAGCTTTGTTCACAATTCAGAGGTGACAATATGTCGAGTGAAACAAGATGTTAAGCGTAACGAGACACGTTACAATGTCATGCACATGTGGAAAATCCTGCATGGTTTCACATCCAACGACCTCGAAGTACAGTTCACAGTACTAAACCCACGATTGGGTACCCTGGCTAAGGTTCCATCTGTCCGTACAAAAAGCTCAGCGGCTCATCAGACTCTATATGAAACATCATTTAGTGTAATGGGTCCCAGACTCTGGAACTGTATACCTTGGCACATACGTGCAGTCTCCAAGCATGATGGCGTCAAGCATCATATGACAGCATTCATGCTTTCCTTGACTGATAAACCGCCAATCCGGGGCTTCACATCACCGAACTCCAATTCTATACTGGAGTCTGGACTGGCGTAACGATCGAGAGGCATCTGCTCTCTGGGGTTGTCAGCAACTCTGATGGCCTGTCGAGTTTCGACGAAGCAGATCAAAGGTATCAAAGGTAAGGTAAGTACATTGACGTAGATTACATAATTTGAGACAAAGAGATTTGAACCGTATACATCTCAAACTAATGTTTAAACTTCCTTACTTCAGATCTACTGCTATTCTATACAAGGATGATTTACAAATTACAGTGGATCTAGACAATTGTTTGTATTGTATTAAGCTAACCTGCTACATAAAACATCTCTACAAGATTAAGCCTCAAAACCACATGCCGAGTGCCGAGTACCGAGTGCCGAGTGCAGAGTACCGAGTACCGAGTGCAGAGTACCGAGTACCGAGTGCAGAGTACCGAGTGCCGAGTGGTAAATCACTAGCTTTAAACAAAGTGAGGATTTCTACTGTCTACAAATGACTCCTTTTCGCTGAAATGTGAAATTGAACCAAAACGTACAGTCATAAGATCAAGCAGCAACAATCAATTATAATGAGTGCTCCCAAGTATGTACATTTTATACATAATTGTTAAGATGAATATCCCATAATTTGATTGACAGTAATTACAATATTAATCTATTTTATTATTGTGATTGGGTCTGTGATTAACATCTAAATGAGCCAAGATACTCCAGTTATGCTGATCACTGGTCCACTGGAGTATAGCGATGGCATCCGTTTATTTCGAAGCCGAAAACTGGTGGCAGTGGGGCCAAATTTGAAATCTCGCAGTCACCGCAGTGACCTTGGCCAGGGACAAAAGAAAATCGCGAATATTTTGGCCAAAAATCGCGATACCGCGACATGCCAGGCGACATATAAAATTTGTCGCAAAAAATTAGAAAAATCGCGATGCCGCGATTTCATTTTGTCCCCGCATTCGGCGGATGTGAAAAATTTTGTTAGATATCTGCATCTAGTCAAAATTAGTTGTCAATATCAGCAATTGCCTCGGAGTTATTAGTCGTTACATTTTATCAGACAGATTTGTACACTTACACTGTATAAGAGAAAACCAACAGTGCCTGCAATATGAATATCATTCACAAATTTAAACAAGAAGAGGCGAAGTCCATGTGGTGACTGAGCCCTGAGGCAGTGCAACGAATCAGTTTTCATGATTTTAGCCTAAGCTTAGAAAAGGGTGGCGTGCTAAAAAAGTAAACAGTAGAAAAAGTAAACAGCAGAAATACACTATAAAACAATGCGCTACATTGTGCCTATAAAATGACTGTAATAGATGAGATTTGCAAATTATTGTGAAGATTATTACGCATATCATTGATCAATGTTGGGAGGGAGGGAATTGTTAAGGGGATGGCACTAATCATTATATTTATCTCATTATATTCAATAATAGGTCTCATAATTCTGAATTAATCTCGTTCTGCAGCAATATTGGTAATTCTGAGGCGGAGTTTCGTGCCAGTTTGCAACTCTGTGTCAAGTAATGGGATAAGAAATCATAATAGTTTCAGTTAAGAAATAGCTGTAATTAAGTAATTATAAAGATACAGTGTTAAATGATCCTCATGGAGCATACAATTAGAAGCAGATAACTGCGACCGGATTAGCAACAGAAAATCCGGTCGGATTGAAGCCTCCTTCCCGTCCTGAACTTCAATGTTACACTCACAAATGACAGATAAGAAAAATATGAAGACAGTTCTGAGGTCCATCTCTTAGCCATCAGGTTCATTCGAAAATGTGTAAATTGGTCCAATACTTCAGACTAACGTTTGGAAGATCGAACGCGACTAATATGGAAGTTTACATATGTAATATAGCACGACTAATTAATTAATTTACACGAAAACTTTTAAACCATTTGCATTGTTACAACTCACAAAAATAAGAAACAGGAATAAATGTTTAAGTAAAGTCTCGCTATGTGCAGAAACCAACAATTACAAAGCGCCCAAATCCATACAAATTTAGTAATTATTACTCACTTGCGCTCGGTTTTATCATATTTTAGAGTAACTAACGGTCCCCATAAATTACTAACGGTCCCCATAAATTACTAACGGTCCCCATAAATTACTAACGGTCCCCATAAATTATTAACGGTCCCCATAAATTATTAACGGTCCCCTCAAATTACAAAAGAGCACGTAAATTATAAGTAACAATTAGGGGCGGTTAAATACCAGAAACACGCGGTCCCGGCCCGGGGGGACAAATTATTCGAATATGCGAATAAGCTGGCTAATTCAGATTTGTAACCAGACTCAGGCCCCAGCATATTTTTTTCGGAGAAACTGCTAAGGATAAGTTTTCTTGTGACAACTTCGTAGATGGTATTTACTTCCCATGTGATTGTGAAGGCAGAAGTTCACGTGGTCCTTTATATTACTTTTAGCTGGACGCAATTATCCGGCCCGGACACACTGGACACACCGGACACACCGGACACACCGGACACACCGTACACACCGGACACACCGGACACACCGTACACACCGTACACACCGGACACACCGGACACACCGTACACACCGGACACACCGGACACACCGGACACACCGTACACACCGTACACACCGGACACACCGGACACACCGGACACACCGGACACACCGGACACCGCGGCAGAGGTATTACGGCTGAATTAGAGCCGTCAAATTAAGCAAGGGCCACAATACGATTACGAAATACTCAACAAGAATGCAGTAATGCTCACAGAAAATGCTGGTATGCCACATTCATACCTCACTTTAGATTAATAGTGTTGTTATTAGTTTAAAACCTCACTTCAGCTACATCGCATTATAATACTACCAGAGGGACTGAAGCTCAGCAAGTGTTTTATGAGTGCATGTGGAGGTAATGTAATTAAACTCTCGGCTATATTAAGGTCCACAATCTAGTTTATTAGATTGATTGTAAATGATCGAGGGATAGAGAATAATAAATAATAATAAATACGCTGGAAGACCACCATTTGGTACAAAATACAAATAATATGGTTTTGTTGCGCAACAATCAATATCCGTGCCAGAGACAATCACGAGACAAACCTAATCGAAACAAACAAAGGCCTCGTATACGAGCAATATAATGGTGTTTAAATTGCCTTTTGTATATCTAATGCTTTTTCCAGTCATACTCGTGGCTTAAGTTGGGACAAAAATGGTATAATCTGTACTAAAATTATTGAATCAATGATAATCCATAATACGAACAAAGACATTTTCCCATCAATTTTAATGATGCACTGCACTGGTGTTGATTGTGAAATGAAATAATGTGCTTATATCCCGCCCATATGGTTAGCTGCCGGCACAAGTGCCAGCTACTAACCATGTCAGAGCGGCTCTAAAGGGTGAGTGAAAAAGACTAGCATGAAAATGAATATGACAATGTCGTAAATAATTTAAATTAGTCTAGGATCTTGTCCTCACAACAAATAATACCACTTCTGATATAATAGCGTCTATTCAAATCGTCCTTTGCCTTCTGTTTCATTTCCAATACCAGCAGATGGTGTTTGGTTTGCTCCTCAGGTGACCGATCCGGAGAAATGAAAACTGTTTCGTAGTGCTGACTCAGTTTCAGTTTCTTCGATTTCAATAATATCTGATCTCGTGGACATTGTTGGTATTTGTGACCGATATTTTGACAAAAGATAATGGAGTCAAATGTATATTCATGTCAAATGAATGCTGGTATACTGTTCATTATTCGTGTCAAGTGAATGATGGTGAACTGTAGCAAATAAATAATGTAAGGATTTCTCGGCATAACGAAATCAGGTACAGTCCATTCCTTTTCAACGCTATCCTCCCCGTTACGGGTGTCAGGTTATCAGTGTGGCAGGTAGGGTGTCAGGTAATCAGTCCCAGAACTATGACGATTGTCGGTACCTCTAAATCACTTGCCAAGCATTTTAATATTTTACAGAGGGGTTTTGAGCACATGTAGGTAGCCCCCATGACAGAGGGTTAAAAAGCTTCCCTGAGGCGCTATCACTATGGGCACAAAACTATTTTGGTCTGGCAGTAAAACACGAATTCGATTGTTTAATATTATCGCACCTTTCTGGAACTTAATTTTACCTACAGATGTTAAATTTAATACAGACAGAAAACACACCATCTGAGACGATCCATCATCAATACGCTCAATATCCGCGCCGGTCAATTATAGAAGCATGACAACCGCTCATACAAAAAGGCGACAGTTTTCTCTTCATTATGTACGTTTGACATTATTCTGCTGATTAAGGCTCGAGCCTGGAACTACATCGTAATATCTTAGTATCCATAGAATTCCATAGAGCTGCGTCGTGTTTCTTGAGTTCCGCACAAAGAGGACACTGGACAGTCAAGACTACACAAAATAAATATATATTATATATAAACCTAAAAACGATAATTCGAACGTGAATAATTAGTTCCCCTTGTATAAAATATTTAAAAGCTTAAAAAATTAAAAGTTTGCAAGGAAAGATAAAAACTAGTAGATCAGAAGTCCTGGCCAGGTTAAAATGTGGTATTTTGTGAAGCAGATGAATACACTGTTGTAAATGTAGATACCTGGAAATAGGATAGTAGGAGGAGTTTGCGGTATCATCACATAACGGGTGATAACAAAACGTTCCAATTTTACAAAAAAAATGGAAATTTTTTCAAATCCTTTTATCGAAAGAAATTGCTCTGTGCCTACCGCAAGAGGCTTCTGAGTGTTTCGCATTGATTCTGTTCAAAATTGTCCAAATTTTAACACTGTTTCATTGATTTTGATTACAAATGAATTGATCGACCCGATAAAAGGATTTGAGAAAAGTTCTATTTTTTGTCATCAACCGTTACAATACATTGTTGTGGTTGTTCGACTACCCGTTGTTCTAGAGGGGGAAAATTGGAAGTTTTGGAACTCAACCAGTGGCGAGTGTTACGTTGCCATGGTAACTAATAACAGCATGTTTCCTCAAAGGGTGAAGGAGATAAGAAAAAAGCTGGTAAACTATTTGGAGATCAATAACCTTATATGTAGTAAGCAGCACGGATTTAGATCTGGCCGGAGTTGCCTTACTCAACTTCTCCACCATTTTGATGACGTTTTGGATTCTCTGAGCAATAATTCAGATTTTGATTCAATATATCTCGACTATGCCAAGGCTTTCGATAAAGTAGATCACAAACTCCTACTGAGAAAGCTCCAACTCTATGGAATCCATCCTAAAATCATAAAGTGGATAGAATCTTTCCGCTCAGACCGGAAACAAGCAGTTGTTGTTGAGCTTCCATATTTTGTGGTTGAACATTATCAATACTCAGTTTCCACTTTCCAAAGACACTACACTTGGGCCAATTCATCAGCAAAGAATCGTGATTTTTCCCATTCTCCGCGACAAATCCCGATTTTTGACGTTTGCAGAGACAAATCGCGATTTTCTCAGATCCTCGCGACAAATCGCGAATATTCCAGTTTTCTGAGGACCCGATTTGCGCATTCTCCTTTAAATTTAATGTATTTGCAGAGCAAAGTAAGATGTCATATATTCGTTAACTAGCTTTTTAGTCAAGTTAGGTTATCTATAAATACTGAGCAGAGCTTGCTTTTAGATCAGCTCTTCCAGACGATCTCGAAAGTTCCTCCCAGCTTGCCAGACCTCGCCAGAACGGAACTCGATGTTCCACTTCGAACTGTACTCAATTACATATAAAAATATAATATTATTAGTTAACTTATTATATGTTATTGTTAATACTTTACCATAATACACGTAATCAAACAAATAAACCCTGTTTACAATGAGATAACATCACGTGATCGAATCACGTGTTTTGATAACAAAGCTAGAGACTAAGGGGTATGGAGCACATTGCTTTTCATGTGTTTTTAAATAGACTGACCACGAGTTTCTTTACACAAATTGTACTACTAGTCTTAACTATAATTGTAAAGATTACCTTTTGTGGGGACCGAGCAGGGGGGATTAAGCAGACACTCCTGATCACTATGTTCGTAGAAATATTTCCTTCACCCTCATGAGCTGTTGTTGGCATAGATTGTCTTTTGGTTTGGTTTGGTTTTTAGAGAGAAAGAAATTGCTCTGTGCCTACCGCAAGAGGCTTCTGAGTGTTTGTCATTGACTATTTCTGTTCAAAATTGTCCAAATTTTAACACTGTTTCATTGATTTTGACCACAACTGAATTGATCGACCCGATAAAAGGATTTGAGAAAAGTTCTATTTTTGGTCATCACCCGTTACAATACATTGTTGTGGTTGTTCGACTAGCCGTTGTTCTAGAGGGGGAATATTGGAAGTTTTGGAACTCAACCAATGGTAAGTGTTATAATCATAGTTGGTTCGTGCGCACTTAACGTACTTTTAAAACATAACGCACTTCACGTACGAAAAAACGTAAAACGGTGAATTCAACGGTAAATGTACTTAAACGCACTTTTAACGCACGAAATAATTCAAACGCACTTTACGTACTTTTCCCGAAAAATTGACGCACGAACCAACTATGGTTATAATGGCATGTTTCCTCAAAGGGTGAGTAGATGTAGACTATTTGGTGAGTATTGTGTAACGTGCACGTATAGGATTGGTTCCTATGTGATTACCGGTGGTAATGTTTACCGTTGTAAAGCAATCAATTAATTAAAACAATCATTTTACAATGAGGTTAAGTACAAGTTAATGGGGTAACCTTTGTTGCGAATGTGTTCTCGTTTACTTCAGTCACTGACCTTATTGTTGGTATTTCGGGGCTATACCCGACCCGTTTGAAGGCACTGTTCAAATAATTTGTCAGCAACTGTTAAACTATTTGTCCATTTGGATCCTCTTTTAAATAAAACCCCCTTGCCGGCAGAATTTTCCAGAAGAACTATGGGACTTCTTCTCGTTCTACTCACACTTCTTGGAACCGGAACCAGCCTCAAAGTTGGACTTCTTCACATGCATGGATTAACTGGACATTTCGACAGTGAAAAGAACTTGAAGTTCAAAGAGTTTGTGGAAAGTCACACCGACGTAGAGGTACATCTGATTGACGCCTTCAACTATGGAGAGAGCATTACGAGTCTCACTTATCAAGTGCCTATAATTCTAGAGCAAGTAAAAGAGATTGCAGCAGAATACGACAAAGTGATAGCAGTGGGTCACTCTCAAGGGGGGATTATCTGGAGAGGGATGATTGAGAAATGGGAGTATCACAATGTGGATACCTTCATCACTCTAGCTTCTCCACAACACGGCGTTGCAAACATTCCTTCGGAGGTCCTTGACAAGTTTGTTGAAAGCAAAATTGAAAGTGAGGGCTTGAAGTCAATTGTTATGGAAATGTTGGGCAACATTAGGGGTATATTCAGCTTAGAATTTCTTCTCGAAATATTTAAACAAGTTATCTTGATCCTTGGACACGAAGAAGAGTCGGACGAACTGATCGAATCAATTTTTAATTTGGCTCCAGCCAACTACTACCTGGACTCCACAAATCACACCTTGTATCTTGAGAACATAAACTTCTTTCCTGAACTAAACAATGAAAAGGGCTCGGATCAAGAAAAAGAAACACAGAAAAAGAACTTTCTAGGACTGAGGAAGTTGGTTATGATTGGAGGTCCCCAGGACGGGTTTCTCGTGCCCTGGCAATCTGCCATCTTCGGCTACTTTGACGAGAATGGATATGCTGGACAGAACGTACTTAATATGACAGAGACTACATTCTACAAAGAGGATCTGTTTGGTTTGAAAACCCTGGCTGAAAGAGGAGGAGTGGAGAAGCATGTGGTGGAAAATGTGGACCATTTTCAGTTCGGTTATAACCGTCGTATCATGGAGACTATAGTTCTACCTGTACTAAAGGAGGTTACAGAGAATGTGGCAAATTGATCTGATAGTACTGATTCTCTGCACTATTTGATTGTTTTATTTAATTCGAGCATTCAGTTTTATTACATACAACGGTTTCACTTTGTAGATACATGGCGGACAAAATTTGAGAATGATAAAATTTGTGAAATGCAAACTTTCGTTTCTAAAATATCTAAATATTTGATATTGCAAATTATCGAAATTTATTTAATTAAGCTGAACTTCACTGCATCCCGTTACTAGTATTATATATATAATACTAGTGCAGCCTTTAGTTTGCCCACAGAATGAAAATTGTCCCATACTCCAAGGTAAAGGTTGAGTGTTAAGAGTATGGATGGTCATGTTATAGTATGGTGGTCGAGATAGCAACATAATTAAAAAGTTTTAAAGGTGTTTATAAGGTCACGTTAAAGTCACTATTAAGTGGTCACACGTCAGGGACAAAAGGATTTCGCGATTATTTTGGCCAAAAATCGCGATACCGCGAATTTTAACGACTATACATTAAACTATACATAAAATTTGTCGCAAATAATGGGAAAAATCGCGATTCCGTACATGCCGCGATTTCCTTTTTTCCCTGTCACACGTGGACAGCTATTACTGGCTAATAGCGCTAACTGCCCTCTGTCTGCAATTGTGGATAAAGTAACCGCAGCATAATACCTTTAACAGTGCTTTAATGACTATGAGAAGTCTGCATATGACAACAAGTACTGTTCATGACTTTTTCATCCTTATCAGTTTACGCTAATGAGATGTACTCTTAGCTATATAATGATAAGATCACCATACAGAGAGGTTATAGTCACCTTCCCAAATCACTACTTCACTACTGCACTCATTAATAATTCTTGCTAATTTGTGACTGCTAATTTGTGACTGCTTTACTTCCATCCACAGCAGTTTACAGGTACAGTCCCGAGCATTAGGTCGTAATTTACATGAGAAATAGATCCACGCTTGGGTTGCGATTTATATGACTAAATATAGAATAATTGCATGTCTTGTGATGGTCCCGTTTTGCAAATTCGAATAAAAGGCTACAGAACCAACAGAACAAAACGGCAAAATTAAAATGAAACTGAAGCTTTGAAACAAGTTCTGGCCGTTATAAAAACTGCAGAATTGAACATCTGAAGTTTCCATAATAGAATGACCATCTCAATTTTAATATGAATTGCGTGAACTTATCAAAGGTATTGTACTCAAGTATAGCAATGATCTGAATTAGGACGATACAAAATTGGTGTTCTATTTGTCTTATTGATAATAGTTCAGAAAAAATAAATCAATTTCACCTCAGCAAAGTCGCCAAGAATTCTATTATTTGACGAGGTAAGTTCGGTCAATAAATAATTAAATCTTTGGGACAAAACAATTTTAGAAATAGACAAATAAACCAACAAAATTAGGTTAGACGGCAGCGGATTGAAAAGTAGTTACATTATATTATTTATTGAATTTTAATTTTATTATGATATTATGTATATTAACTATTATTTAATTAATCTAACAATTGAAATATCATAATTAGTAATATATAATTGTAGTCTCTTCTATAACAACGTTTCTGTAATATAAAATGGTCATTACTCCCCGCCTGCAATTATATCGTATCAAAGATTTCATCATTCAGTTAACTCAAATTTCCTAAACAAGTTATAGAGTTATAGACTTCTATTCCGTCTTCTTGACTTATTTTATTTGTTTACAACTAACCTGATAACTAATTTCTGGCTGCAAATTATGTGATAGTAGTCTCATTCAACCGGACAAAATTTAAAGGAGCATTAAAATGGCTGACATATTGTTAACGATATGAGTCGGTTATCATTAATATCCCTGTATAATAATAGTAATTCATCAGGAAGGAGACAGGGAAAACGGGAGGGCAACAAAACTTCTAATTCATTAATAGAATATAATAGCATGTACGTGCCCGTCATTTACAATTGCACGTGATTCAGTGAGTGATATTCTGATTTCAAGATTCCATTATCCATTGCTATTGGAACCTCTATTTAGTTGACACTACACATTATTGTGTAGATATACATATATACAGGGAGGAAGCTAATAGTATTTTTGTTAATAAGTTTAAATCGCGTCAAAAAATATCCTACACAACCGAAGATACAGCCGATTAAAATGTTAATCGGCTGTTAAAATTTTAAACAAAATTGATTTAAAATGTTTTTATATCTTCGTGATAATCTAACTCACAATCCAAATCCTTCGGTAAAGTTAGTGATCTTCAAAAACATTCCCTGGAATTTCTCCTCAACCACCCAGAACCACCCCGAATAAACGATCCCATTAACAGTTCCAGTACTGAGACCCCCGATCACATCAGACACGTAATGCCTCCCCAACATAATCCTGGAGGAGCAAACCAAGAGTGCTAGTAAAACTACTATCACACAATACTGAACACTTCTATCTTGTGTTGTTATGAGAAGATATCCTAATATTCCCATCCGGGAGCTGTGTCCGGACGGGAAACTAAAGTTGCTTACTCCCGGGAAGTACGCTGCCTCCGAACATTCTGGTCGTTTTCGTCCGACGGTTGCTTTTATGAGGATCTTTACAATTTCGTCGTAAAACTGAGCTAAAAGTATGTTGAAATAAAGTGAAAATGTGTGTAGGTTTGGAGCGGCTATAATAACAGCTATGTTAGCAGGGATAAGGGTGACAGCACCTCCTAATATCTCACACAATATAAACACAGTCAACAGTGACAAATACAGTCCGCTCTCTGCCCCTTGTAACACCTGTAGAGAAGCTGTTGCTCGTTTGTCTTGTTCTAATAACCACGTGATCCAGCTTGTCTCCTCCTCCTGCACCTCAATGATAGATGAGATAATGTCACCTGCCTCTTCAGCTTCAACCGAGCTGATGTTATCGGCATCTTCTGAAACTTGTGAGGCGTATTCTTGTGATATTAATCGTTTTCTTAGGACCTCGCTCATCGAGTATCTTTCATTACTTCATACTTTCTGCCTGGAGAAATGGAAATCAGAAATGGACAGGGTAATCATGATTTCAATTTGGTGAACTAACTACTAAGGAGTATAAACATAACAATTAAATATAATCAATAATCAATATAGCAGTAATATGGGGTCGTTATCTGAGTACTAAAATCATTACCTTAGTTCGTTTATTTATGGCGGGTAAAAATAATGGCGTGTTAAAATATGGCAGAATTTCCGAAAAACCGCCTAATTTAACCCGCCATAATTAAACTAACTAAGGTACAGTGAAACCTCTATTATATACCTGTTTACACCTCTATACCTCTACATACCAGCCTCCTCGGGGGAACTAAAAGTATAGAAATAGCCCGGTATAGAGAGGTTTACGTGATCCTAATTTATGGTATCTGAAACCTTTAAATTGATCTGTCAAGCGTCTCATATACCCCATTAAGAGCCTTATATGCTCGTATTGTGTGGTATAGCGATGGAATATAATGTACTGAGTGCTCACACTACCACCAAATGTAAGTACGGTATAGATAAGAGATAAGAGAGGTTTTGCTGTATATATTTGAGGTAAAAACACTAAACGAATAATAAAAACTGTCACTCACAACGAGATACCAGAAATGTAACTGTTCAATATCGGACCTCTAAACTCAATGAACTGAAACTTGATACATTTTGTAAATTCAGTAATATAATTATCTTTGCTCAAATGCCTTAAAGTTTGGCTCGAAATCAAGTAATCCTAATTTATAACTTGTGTAAGATTTAAAAGGAGATACTCCTGGTAATACTGTTTTTAAAATACATTATTTGAGCATTCTTTATAATTCACGACTGATGTAAGATGTTTCCTCTTCAACCCTTCAACCAAGTTCTCAGTTACATTATTTATTAAACTTATTAAGTGTGAGGAAGAGATTTTTTTCCGACATTAAGCTGTAAATCAAGTGTAAAAACATTAAATGTAAAAATAATATATTTAATATTTTCTCTATTCTCTAAATTAACTAGCTGCCACCTAAATTTTCTATTAATTCTAATAATTTTGTTTCATCTTCTAATAATTCTTATCTCAGTTTTTTCCCTTATTTTCTAGAAAGAAACTTTTTTTAATTAAAAGATCACACCACTACAATTTGACACAATATCCTTAATAGTTACTTAAACTTTATATATATATATTAGACGAGTTGATCGTTTAATAACTATCACTCTTTCAGAGGGATTGGAGTATAGGTGGCGCGCTGCACGTGCGAGTAAAGTACACCAACCCCACAACTCTACACGTTAACGTAGCCTCTGCAGAGGGTCTCTGTGGTAAGGACAAGGACAAACTCTCCGACCCTTACGTTAGAGTCACTCTTGCAGGAAAGTACCCTGTTAAATCCACTAAGGTTTGCTTTCTGTTGTTATCTTGTTAATCTTGTTAATCTTGTTAATCTTGTTAATCTTGTTAATCTTGTTAATCTTGTTAATCTTGTTAATCTTGTTAATCTTGTTAATCTTGTTAATCTTGTTAATTTTATAGGACTCTCTCTAGTTTCTCACGTGGTATTATTTTTTAATCTGGACTTTATTAGAACTGAACCTCAGTTATACAATATACATTATGCATTATTCACTATACACTTTACATTATACACTACACACTATACACTATACACTATACACTATACACTATACACTATACACTATACACTATACACTATACACTATACACTATACACTATACACTATACACTATACAATATACACTATACACTATACACTATACACTATACACTATACACTATACACTATACACTATACATTATACAATATACACTATACACTATACACTATACAATATACACTATACAATATACACTATACACTATACACTATACACTATACACTATACAATATACACTATACACTATACAATATACAATATACACTATACACTATACACTATACACTATACACTATACACTATACACTATACAATATACACTATACACTATACACTATACAATATACACTATACACTATACACTATACACTATACACTATACACTATACACTATACAATATACACTATACACTATACACTATACACTATACACTATACACTATACATTATACAATATACACTATACACTATACACTATACACTATACACTATACACTATACACTATACACTATACATTATACAATATACACTATACACTATACACTATACACTATACACTATACACTATACACTATACTATATACACTATACACTATACACTATACACTATACACTATACACTATACACTATACACTATACACTATACACTATACACTATACACTACACACTATACACTATACACTATACACTATACATTATACATTATACACTATACACTATACATTATACATTATACACTATACACTATACACTATACACTATACAATATACATTATACACTATACACTATACACTATACATTATACATTATACAGGTTATCAAAGGAACTGTGAACCCCGTCTGGAGTGAAACGTTCGACTATGCAATCCCAGTACAACTTCTACAAACTGCGTAAGTATCAAGCAGAGCTGAGATTTTAGATAAACAAAATATTAAAACCCTGCGGACAGAATAATCGTGTGAATGTCATATAATTACATTCCAAACAATCGTGAATATATTAAAGAGCAGTGAGAAAAGAGAAAAGAACACGTACGGTGGTCCGGTGCAGTACCCGAGAAAGTGTATACAGTAATACCCTGTTGTCATGTAAATTAGTTAGTAAATTAATTAGTACTGAATACTGGAAATCTTTGAAGCCATATTCAGCGCAGTGCACCTTATATTATATGGTAGTGTTACCATGACAATCTTACCATACACGGCAGTCAATCTTATCACTAATCAAAATTGCGGTATAATGCTTAACAAAATAGCTAATTATGCAAGAAATCGGAATCGAGTTATCTGCTGATAAAGAACTGATAAAAGGTACAAAAACTGTTACCGATTGTAAAGAAATGAGACTCTCCTTAGCATACTGGATATTAGCATATGTAACTTGAGTACGTAATAACTTCATGAGTAATTCTACGTACCTTCACCTCCGGTGTAATTGTACTGATCTACCAGCTGATTAGAGTATACACTATACATTATACATTATACAATGAATTATATATGAGAACTATATGTATTGTTTGGTTAGAGGTTAGAGGTTAGAGGTTAGAGATAAGAAGTTAGAGAGATTAGTAATACTTTTACCTGATCAATTGTGAAAAAGAGCTCTGGAGGAAACTAACGAATCACAAGATCGATTAATAGAAAGTGTGCTAGGTAAAACTAAAAGCATTGCAATTTGACCCCGATCTTCAGGTTGTTAAGCGACTATTCTAGTCTAAAACAAGGTAAACTGTATGAAATACAAAGTGTAGAGAAAGGTTGACTGGGCAAAGAGCAGCACAAAGAGCCGCACAAAGGCACCAAGTAAAGTTAGCAAGGTATAATACCAGGTACAGGCTAGGTGGTTATCAGTGCCAAGTTGCATTTCCTTGTCTACTCTAACAATAAGTACTAAATAGTTACACTGTCATCACGATCTTAATTAAAAACACGTGCTTGTTCGATTACTTGTCTTGTTAAAGGCACGTTGTGTTGTGCACGTGAAATGTTTCATGCATAAGTAGAAGAGGATTAGCACTTTAGCAGGGTGGTTGTGAGTGAGAATATACACAACAAAATACACCCTATAATATACAATATACATATACATATACATATACATTATACACTGTATTACACGCACCTGCAATAAAGCAGGTATAGTGTATTAATTTTAATAATGTACCCTGGTCCCTGTACACGTGTGATTTTTGTATCCGGTAACATATCCCCAGATTAAAAACGCACCAAACCCACACTTAAACACATCCTAAGCGGGTAGTTAGGCGGGTAATTAGGCGGCTAATTAGGCGAGTAATGTCCTGTCCAAACCCGGCTCAGGATATATAACATGAAGACGTTGTTGTAACTTGTATGCAAAGCATTAATATCCTCAGATTAACAACACCACAACCGCACTTAACCGCACTTAATCATGTATAATTATCTCGCAACCGTATTTATTTAACAGTATTTCTCTACTAAGTGCTACTCATCACAGCACCACACAATAAACTTGTAATAGTGGTTACTATGGTAGTGGTTACTATGGTAACGTGTGGTTACTATGGTAACGTGTGGTTACTATGGTAGTGGTTACTATGGTAGTGGTTACTATGGTAGTGGTTACTATGGTAACGTGTGGTTACCATGGTAGTTATAGTGGTTACTATGGTAACGTGTGGTTACTATGGTAACGTGTGGTTAATATGGTAACGTGTGGTTAATATGGTAACGTGTGGTTACTATGGTAACGTGTGGTTACTATGGTAACGTGTGGTACGATTACGGTAGCTCACTTGACCCCTGCTCATCGACATGAGACAGCTGCCGGAACATCCGATCTGGGTCATTACTTCTGACTTAAAATCTTATTTATTGATGACTGTCACGTGTCACTGCACCCAGCTACACACTAAAATACACCTCAGAACGATCCTGCTAGCTGTGTACAACAAGAACCTTATTGTAAACTAGATACCAGAACTGTAACAATATCAATATCGTAACACTCAAATACACCTCAGAACGATCCTGCTAGCTGTGTACAACAAGAACCTTATTGTAAACTAGATACCAGAACTGTAACAATATCAATATCGTAACACTCAAATACACCTCAGAACGATCCTGCTAGCTGTGTACAACAAGAACCTTATTGTAAACTAGATACCAGAACTGGAACAATATCAATATCGTAACACTCAAATACACCTCAGAACGATCCTGCTAGCTGTGTACAACAAGAACCTTATTGTAAACTAGATACCAGAACTGTAACAATATCAATATCGTAACACTCAAATACACCTCAGAACGATCCTGCTAGCTGTGTACAACAAGAACCTTATTGTAAACTAGATACCAGAACTGTAACAATATCAATATCGTAACACTCAAATACACCTCAGAACGATCCTGCTAGCTGTGTACAACAAGAACCTTATTGTAAACTAGATACCAGAACTGGAACAATATCAATATCGTAACACTCAAATACACCTCAGAACGATCCTGCTAGCTGTGTACAACAAGAACCTTATTGTAAACTAGATACCAGAACTGTAACAATATCAATATCGTAACACTCAAATACACCTCAGAACGATCCTGCTAGCTGTGTACAACAAGAACCTTATTGTAAACTAGATACTAGAACTGTAACAATATCAATATCGTAACACTAAAATACACCTCAGAACGATCCTGCTAGCTGTGTACAACAAGAACCTTATTGTAAACTAGATACCAGAACTGTAACAATATCAATATCGTAACACTAAAATACACCTCAGAACGATCCTGCTAGCTGTGTACAACAAGAACCTTATTGTAAACTAGATACCAGAACTGTAACAATATCAATATCGTAACACTAAAATACACCTCAGAACGATCCTGCTAGCTGTGTACAACAAGAACCTTATTGTAAACTAGATACCAGAACTGTAACAATATCAATATCGTAACACTCAAATACACCTCAGAACGATCCTGCTAGCTGTGTACAACAAGAACCTTATTGTAAACTAGATACCAGAACTGTAACAATATCAATATCGTAACACTAAAATACACCTCAGAACGATCCTGCTAGCTGTGTACAACAAGAACCTTATTGTAAACTAGATACCAGAACTGTAACAATATCAATATCGTAACACTAAAATACACCTCAGAACGATCCTGCTAGCTGTGTACAACAAGAACCTTATTGTAAACTAGATACCAGAACTGTAACAATATCAATATCGTAACACTAAAATACACCTCAGAACGATCCTGCTAGCTGTGTACAACAAGAACCTTATTGTAAACTAGATACCAGAACTGTAACAATATCAATATCGTAACACTCAAATACACCTCAGAACGATCCTGCTAGCTGTGTACAACAAGAACCTTATTGTAAACTAGATACCAGAACTGTAACAATATCAATATCGTAACACTAAAATACACCTCAGAACGATCCTGCTAGCTGTGTACAACAAGAACCTTATTGTAAACTAGATACCAGAACTGTAACAATATCAATATCGTAACACTCAAATACACCTCAGAACGATCCTGCTAGCTGTGTACAACAAGAACCTTATTGTAAACTAGATACCAGAACTGTAACAATATCAATATCGTAACACTCAAATACACCTCAGAACGATCCTGCTAGCTGTGTACAACAAGAACCTTATTGTAAACTAGATACCAGAACTGTAACAATATCAATATCGTAACACTAAAATACACCTCAGAACGATCCTGCTAGCTGTGTACAACAAGAACCTTATTGTAAACTAGATACCAGAACTGTAACAATATCAATATCGTAACACTAAAATACACCTCAGAACGATCCTGCTAGCTGTGTACAACAAGAACCTTATTGTAAACTAGATACCAGAACTGTAACAATATCAATATCGTAACACTAAAATACACCTCAGAACGATCCTGCTAGCTGTGTACAACAAGAACCTTATTGTAAACTAGATACCAGAACTGTAACAATATCAATATCGTAACACTAAAATACACCTCAGTACGATCCTGCTAGCTGTGTACAACAAGAACCTTATTGTAAACTAGATACCAGAACTGTAACAATATCAATATCGTAACACTCAAATACACCTCAGAACGATCCTGCTAGCTGTGTACAACAAGAACCTTATTGTAAACTAGATACCAGAACTGTAACAATATCAATATCGTAACACTAAAATACACCTCAGAACGATCCTGCTAGCTGTGTACAACAAGAACCTTATTGTAAACTAGATACCAGAACTGTAACAATATCAATATCGTAACACTAAAATACACCTCAGAACGATCCTGCTAGCTGTGTACAACAAGAACCTTATTGTAAACTAGATACCAGAACTGTAACAATATCAATATCGTAACACTAAAATACACCTCAGAACGATCCTGCTAGCTGTGTACAACAAGAACCTTATTGTAAACTAGATACCAGAACTGTAACAATATCAATATCGTAACACTAAAATACACCTCAGAACGATCCTGCTAGCTGTGTACAACAAGAACCTTATTGTAAACTAGATACCAGAACTGTAACAATATCAATATCGTAACACTAAAATACACCTCAGAACGATCCTGCTAGCTGTGTACAACAAGAACCTTATTGTAAACTAGATACCAGAACTGTAACAATATCAATATCGTAACACTAAAATACACCTCAGAACGATCCTGCTAGCTGTGTACAACAAGAACCTTATTGTAAACTAGATACCAGAACTGTAACAATATCAATATCGTAACACTAAAATACACCTCAGAACGATCCTGCTAGCTGTGTACAACAAGAACCTTATTGTAAACTAGATACCAGAACTGTAACAATATCAATATCGTAACACTAAAATACACCTCAGAACGATCCTGCTAGCTGTGTACAACAAGAACCTTATTGTAAACTAGATACCAGAACTGTAACAATATCAATATCGTAACACTCAAATACACCTCAGAACGATCCTGCTAGCTGTGTACAACAAGAACCTTATTGTAAACTAGATACCAGAACTGTAACAATATCAATATCGTAACACTAAAATACACCTCAGAACGATCCTGCTAGCTGTGTACAACAAGAACCTTATTGTAAACTAGATACCAGAACTGTAACAATATCAATATCGTAACACTAAAATACACCTCAGAACGATCCTGCTAGCTGTGTACAACAAGAACCTTATTGTAAACTAGATACCAGAACTGTAACAATATCAATATCGTAACACTAAAATACACCTCAGAACGATCCTGCTAGCTGTGTACAACAAGAACCTTATTGTAAACTAGATACCAGAACTGTAACAATATCAATATCGTAACACTAAAATACACCTCAGAACGATCCTGCTAGCTGTGTACAACAAGAACCTTATTGTAAACTAGATACCAGAACTGTAACAATATCAATATCGTAACACTCAAATACACCTCAGAACGATCCTGCTAGCTGTGTACAACAAGAACCTTATTGTAAACTAGATACCAGAACTGTAACAATATCAATATCGTAACACTCAAATACACCTCAGAACGATCCTGCTAGCTGTGTACAACAAGAACCTTATTGTAAACTAGATACCAGAACTGTAACAATATCAATATCGTAACACTAAAATACACCTCAGAACGATCCTGCTAGCTGTGTACAACAAGAACCTTATTGTAAACTAGATACCAGAACTGTAACAATATCAATATCGTAACACTCAAATACACCTCAGAACGATCCTGCTAGCTGTGTACAACAAGAACCTTATTGTAAACTAGATACCAGAACTGTAACAATATATCAATATCGTAACACTCAAATACACCTCAGAACGATCCTGCTAGCTGTGTACAACAAGAACCTTATTGTAAACTAGATACCAGAACTGTAACAATATATCAATATCGTAACACTCAAATACACCTCAGAACGATCCTGCTAGCTGTGTACAACAAGAACCTTATTGTAAACTAGATACCAGAACTGTAACAATATCAATATCGTAACACTAAAATACACCTCAGAACGATCCTGCTAGCTGTGTACAACAAGAACCTTATTGTAAACTAGATACCAGAACTGTAACAATATCAATATCGTAACACTCAAATACACCTCAGAACGATCCTGCTAGCTGTGTACAACAAGAACCTTATTGTAAACTAGATACCAGAACTGTAACAATATCAATATCGTAACACTAAAATACACCTCAGAACGATCCTGCTAGCTGTGTACAACAAGAACCTTATTGTAAACTAGATACCAGAACTGTAACAATATCAATATCGTAACACTAAAATACACCTCAGAACGATCCTGCTAGCTGTGTACAACAAGAACCTTATTGTAAACTAGATACCAGAACTGTAACAATATCAATATCGTAACACTCAAATACACCTCAGAACGATCCTGCTAGCTGTGTACAACAAGAACCTTATTGTAAACTAGATACCAGAACTGTAACAATATCAATATCGTAACACTAAAATACACCTCAGAACGATCCTGCTAGCTGTGTACAACAAGAACCTTATTGTAAACTAGATACCAGAACTGTAACAATATCAATATCGTAACACTAAAATACACCTCAGAACGATCCTGCTAGCTGTGTACAACAAGAACCTTATTGTAAACTAGATACCAGAACTGTAACAATATCAATATCGTAACACTAAAATACACCTCAGAACGATCCTGCTAGCTGTGTACAACAAGAACCTTATTGTAAACTAGATACCAGAACTGTAACAATATCAATATCGTAACACTAAAATACACCTCAGAACGATCCTGCTAGCTGTGTACAACAAGAACCTTATTGTAAACTAGATACCAGAACTGTAACAATATCAATATCGTAACACTAAAATACACCTCAGAACGATCCTGCTAGCTGTGTACAACAAGAACCTTATTGTAAACTAGATACCAGAACTGTAACAATATCAATATCGTAACACTAAAATACACCTCAGAACGATCCTGCTAGCTGTGTACAACAAGAACCTTATTGTAAACTAGATACCAGAACTGTAACAATATCAATATCGTAACACTAAAATACACCTCAGAACGATCCTGCTAGCTGTGTACAACAAGAACCTTATTGTAAACTAGATACCAGAACTGTAACAATATCAATATCGTAACACTAAAATACACCTCAGAACGATCCTGCTAGCTGTGTACAACAAGAACCTTATTGTAAACTAGATACCAGAACTGTAACAATATCAATATCGTAACACTAAAATACACCTCAGAACGATCCTGCTAGCTGTGTACAACAAGAACCTTATTGTAAACTAGATACCAGAACTGTAACAATATCAATATCGTAACACTAAAATACACCTCAGAACGATCCTGCTAGCTGTGTACAACAAGAACCTTATTGTAAACTAGATACCAGAACTGTAACAATATCAATATCGTAACACTAAAATACACCTCAGAACGATCCTGCTAGCTGTGTACAACAAGAACCTTATTGTAAACTAGATACCAGAACTGTAACAATATCAATATCGTAACACTAAAATACACCTCAGAACGATCCTGCTAGCTGTGTACAACAAGAACCTTATTGTAAACTAGATACCAGAACTGTAACAATATCAATATCGTAACACTAAAATACACCTCAGAACGATCCTGCTAGCTGTGTACAACAAGAACCTTATTGTAAACTAGATACCAGAACTGTAACAATATCAATATCGTAACACTCAAATACACCTCAGAACGATCCTGCTAGCTGTGTACAACAAGAACCTTATTGTAAACTAGATACCAGAACTGTAACAATATCAATATCGTAACACTAAAATACACCTCAGAACGATCCTGCTAGCTGTGTACAACAAGAACCTTATTGTAAACTAGATACCAGAACTGTAACAATATCAATATCGTAACACTCAAATACACCTCAGAACGATCCTGCTAGCTGTGTACAACAAGAACCTTATTGTAAACTAGATACCAGAACTGTAACAATATCAATATCGTAACACTCAAATACACCTCAGAACGATCCTGCTAGCTGTGTACAACAAGAACCTTATTGTAAACTAGATACCAGAACTGTAACAATATCAATATCGTAACACTAAAATACACCTCAGTACGATCCTGCTAGCTGTGTACAACAAGAACCTTATTGTAAACTAGATACCAGAACTGTAACAATATCAATATCGTAACACTAAAATACACCTCAGAACGATCCTGCTAGCTGTGTACAACAAGAACCTTATTGTAAACTAGATACCAGAACTGTAACAATATCAATATCGTAACACTAAAATACACCTCAGAACGATCCTGCTAGCTGTGTACAACAAGAACCTTATTGTAAACTAGATACCAGAACTGTAACAATATCAATATCGTAACACTAAAATACACCTCAGAACGATCCTGCTAGCTGTGTACAACAAGAACCTTATTGTAAACTAGATACCAGAACTGTAACAATATCAATATCGTAACACTAAAATACACCTCAGAACGATCCTGCTAGCTGTGTACAACAAGAACCTTATTGTAAACTAGATACCAGAACTGTAACAATATCAATATCGTAACACTAAAATACACCTCAGAACGATCCTGCTAGCTGTGTACAACAAGAACCTTATTGTAAACTAGATACCAGAACTGTAACAATATCAATATCGTAACACTCAAATACACCTCAGAACGATCCTGCTAGCTGTGTACAACAAGAACCTTATTGTAAACTAGATACCAGAACTGTAACAATATCAATATCGTAACACTAAAATACACCTCAGAACGATCCTGCTAGCTGTGTACAACAAGAACCTTATTGTAAACTAGATACCAGAACTGTAACAATATCAATATCGTAACACTAAAATACACCTCAGAACGATCCTGCTAGCTGTGTACAACAAGAACCTTATTGTAAACTAGATACCAGAACTGAAACAATATCAATATCGTAACACTAAAATACACCTCAGAACGATCCTGCTAGCTGTGTACAACAAGAACCTTATTGTAAACTAGATACCAGAACTGTAACAATATCAATATCGTAACACTAAAATACACCTCAGAACGATCCTGCTAGCTGTGTACAACAAGAACCTTATTGTAAACTAGATACCAGAACTGTAACAATATCAATATCGTAACACTAAAATACACCTCAGAACGATCCTGCTAGCTGTGTACAACAAGAACCTTATTGTAAACTAGATACCAGAACTGTAACAATATCAATATCGTAACACTCAAATACACCTCAGTACGATCCTGCTAGCTGTGTACAACAAGAACCTTATTGTAAACTAGATACCAGAACTGTAACAATATCAATATCGTAACACTAAAATACATCTCAGAACGATCCTGCTAGCTGTGTACAACAAGAACCTTATTGACGCAGATGATTTCCTGGGAGAAGCGCGGATCTCTTTACACGACTATAAACATTTCCACGAGATTGATAACTGGTTCCCTCTAGCTGACCTGGTACGTCACAAACATGATATTAACAATTATATTCACATTTAAGCAAGAGAAACAAGATGTTCAATAAACTAAAGAACTAAGCAGCAAAAGCAGACATGGGATATTATGATTTATGAAGTATATATTTGAATCAGCTAGCATTGGTGACAATTAGTGTTATGTGTGATTGTTACTTTAGTGAGATTAGTGAAGCGAAATGCCGAAGTGGATCATTTGTCTGGCCGTCATATGCTTGGAACACGATCTTTTAAATCGCTTAAATGCCATAGGGAAGCATTAATCGTCTTTGAAGCCTGTGATTGTGCGGGAATAATGCCAAGCACTTGTCTGGAGCCGGTTGAGAACCGCGCTAGAACCGGCTCTAAATTGGTATAAAACGTTAGCAACGGCTCTTGGTCGTCTCTTTAACGGTTATTAAACGGCTGTGCAGCGGTTCTAGAAGCGTTCCTTAGCGACTCTTGAGCTGTGTTTTGACCGCTCAGTTGATTGTTCTTTGTTGATGATTCTCAATTTAACAGCTTGGAACGTTGACTCCGTCAGTAGATGTTGGGGACTGGCCCGTGGTACCAGCCAATGTTTACTCAAAAAATATATATAACATCAATGGTAATACTAATAAGAAATTCATCCCCGTGGGGCACATGCATAAATAAAAATGTAAAGGAAATCTCAAGCTATTCAATTTAGACTCTACCGGTAAAGTACGCAAGGAAGGTTTATAACTTAAAGTTTTATATTCCAATGGTTAGTAGGTAAAGATTAAAAAAGTAAAACAAGACTGAGCACTTCAAAATTTGTAGAATTTGTAACTTGATTTGAAATACGCGGCGATAATAAAAAATGTCCAATGTTGGCAGTGTAATTTATGAGATATGCGACGTTTATTGAGTGATGCATAAGTGTGTGCATATAATCTAAGATGTAGAGACAAGGTTATTATCGGCATTTTGGTTTATGTTACGCTTTGTTTTTCTTAGTCCTGTTATACAAAATAACATGAAATTAGGCCATTCGTCTTCGATGTTTTCATTTTGCTGATCGATGAGTATAGTTTTTATACAAGTTTTGTAAATGTTCAGGTTAAATAGACTAGGCGGGGAAGTTGCTGCAACATTATATCGGTTTATTGCTAATAATGAACCTTTAAAAAATACTGAGTTGTTGTAAGGGTGTTGACCATACTTTTCTGACCATTGTGTAGTGAGAATAGAATCCGGGTTAGTATTAAATAATGGTGCGCTTTTGGGAATTGTTTTCTTGAGAGACAATGGTACTAGATTAGGAAAGTTTTTCAATTTATGCATTAAAATGAGTGCGTTCTTTACAATGATACTGTGTACTGTCAATATTTTATGTGAATAAAAGCCAGACTTGGTACTTGCTGGGGGATACCGTCCTTGTACCAGTAATTGACGAAACCAGGTAATACTGCTCGAAGGCCCATTTTCTGTTTTACAAAAAGTGATTTAATATGAGACTTGGCAGCAAAACCCCATACAAGGCTGCAATAATTAAGGTGTGACTGCACAAAACTTTGATAAATTTGAAGACGTGCTTCGAGAGGCAGATATTTTTTAAGTTTGTACATGACTCCTATGTATCTGGACATTTTCATTTTCATGGCAGAGATATGATGGGACCAGTTTAGTTTATCATCTATTATAACTCCTAAAGATGACCGTGATAATTTGTTTGGATCCTGTTCACAACACACCCCCACATTAACCATGATATAACCATATTCTATAGAAACACGTTGCGCGGCACAGGTCGGAGTGGAGTAAGGGCGCTGTGGAGCAGGAGCTGCGCGAGGCGCTCGTAGCGCACATCACCTGCCGCTCCCCAAACCTCATCTTCAACAACACCTCCAACAAGAATAGGGTGAGAAAGTGTTTTATTTGACAGAAATTGGGAGGGTTAAATTAGTGGTCTCCCTTTATCATTAATGAAATTGCTTGAGTTTCTTACATCATCAAACTTTGAATTACATTGAAATGTTACCTAGAATTAGCCTTGCTATTCAAATAATCGTTATTTCAATTCAGGTTATCCGGCTATCATGTTCCAAAGCAGGTCAGAAATCTAAACTCACCATTAAGGACGGAAAACTCATCTTCGACTGAACAATGAACTTTTAGCATGGTAGAGTAGTACACAATGAGTCTGATCATCAGAGTTACAATCTAACATAGAGTGATAGAGTTACTTCCTTGATTGGAACGATAGAAGATCAGTAGAGTATAACAAGTCGATAGTTCTGGAAGCATTAAAGTGACCTCTCAGTTCTCGCAAGCACAAGCGAACTTCTCAGATGATATGGAAAGTTAGAGTTCCTTTGAAACTGCTTTAATTCGACCAAACGTTTGACATAAGTATGTCTGGTCTCAATGACTACTTCAGAGTTGAAAACGAATGACAAATAACGTAGATTGATAGACTTTCAAACACACTTGTAAATATTTTAATTACATGCCATTATTTGATTTCTTTATTTACGATTTTGTTAATAATTGTTGTGTTATTTTTCAATTAATATTATGTCAAGCTCTACGCAAATACTACGCCACTATAATAGAATAAGAACTGGTTAGTATTTGGAAAAATGTTAACATCAAGTAATTAACTACATATCCCTCTAAGAAATCGTTCATATCAAGTAAACTTATTAATTTTGCAGCAGACTAATAATAGACAAATTATATTGACGTCTCCCCCGACTCCGAGATCGGTTTTAATACATGTTTTAAGATCCCTTTCTAAGTAATGATTTTGTAACAAATAAAAATTCAAATCTGAAATATGACTGTGAAAATATAGCATGAAACACTTTTTATTTTTTTAAATTGTTTTAAAACCCAATAGTAACAAATGAACGTGTTTTCAGTATGACAAAAGATAACCTTAGATGATGCTATTTTGAAGCCAATTAACGAAGTCAATACTTATATATACAATATCGCATAATTTAATACTGATCGCATAATTTATGATCCATTGCTTCTTTAACTTTCTTAACCATCTCATCTCGTCCCTGGTATTGACATATAGCTCTGGTAACTTTAATGGTCTGGTAGTTTAGTCTAATGGATTTTGACTCCACACACTCCCCAACAGTCTTGGTAACGTCTACACATATGATATCTTTGGAAATTTGGCAGAATGTCTCCTGCTTGGAGGAGAATCTAACCTTGTGTTTCTTGCACATGAGTCTTGCCAAACTTCTCAAGTCTACCGCTGTGTTAGAGTCTGTACACTTCACACTGAGTACCAGACACATGGTTACAATTGCAGAGATTCTTAACATGTTCTTCATTTCTTTAGTTGAGCCCTAGACTGATGGTATTATAAGTTATAATGCTTTTAGACACTAAGGGAAACATACAACGTAAGGTTTGAAATCTTCGTAAAACTACATCATTAGAGCCTGTAAAAACATTTAACCTAAAGATAAGCACTCTATCAAGTGAAAATCATAATATAATCATCATAGTTTATTAAATCAAACGTAAAAATAAGTTAAAAAGTTATAAGTTATAATTCGTTATTCACTCTTGGGAATCGTTTGCATATAGCTGTAAGAATCGAATAATGAAAAATAACTTGCAACAAGAATAGTTCGTTCACACAAGAACTGATTAACCTTTAACAAAGTTTAACAAAGATTGTTTAACAAACAACGAGAAATTAATCAAATCTAAAAGTTAACATACTGTAAAAATTCAATCTTAATACTTTAATATACTGAACAATATGGAACCGAATTACAAATAAACAGAACTGATAAAACTTTTAAAGTTCACTGTACTTAAGTAAAGATAAAATTGACAGTAGTAATAAAATGATCGCCTTATTAAGCGATGTTAAAATAAAAATGACGTGCTAGTGACGAAACACCTACGTAAACATGACGTGCAATTACTTCTATCTCTTCTATGTTATGTTTAGACTTTTAGAGCTCAAATTCCCTTTAATGTAATCTGACGGTGATTTTATACAGTATCATATTTGTGCGTATAGAGGCACATATATGGTATCAGGTATGCTTAGTATATAACTAATAACACATACCATTAGGTACGTAGCTAAGAAATGAGCATATCAATCACCTGAAGCATATACCTGAAGCTATCCCCAACTTTCATCAACTAGAAATAGCGCAACAATATCAGGATTCTTATTCCACAGACTAAAATAGATAAACAATCACAAACAGGGCGTGGAGAGCTGATACATTGGCATTAGTCTGTTGAAGACAGCGTGTGAACCATTTACATTGGACCCTCATTGAAGTAGAGCATTTGTATTGTTTGATCAAGTCGGTCAGAGCAATGGAAGTGAAATTAACGACGTTTGAACAAAAACTCAGCACGATGGAAAAATGTTGATTAAAGTTGGACAAATAATTAGCCGTCAATTGGGACACGAACATTAAATTGTTAATAAAGAAATAAAAAGTGCTTGATTTGAAGTCAGAAGTAGAATACTTGCATGTCACCATGCCGACCGTAGTTATAAAATAGTGCTCAATGATTCATTCGAAAGATCAGGAGACTTATTTAATTCTCATGTGGTGCATTTTGTAACTGTCGAAAATGTAAAAACAGTAAAACATGTCGGACCCTGGGCCAAGGGGCCGTCACACAACAACAAGCTTTATTTTGTACGTTAACGTACGGCGCGACAACAAAATAAAGATACAATACGAATGCCCGCGCAGTGTGTGTAACGCAAATGCCTAAGCTAAGTTAGCTGCACTGTAATATACACTTTGGCAACTATGTAAGCTTATCTAAAATAACATAGATAAAATACACTCATAGCTGGTTCTTATCAGCAGAGATAAATAAGCGACAAATGGTTTGGTCAGTTCATGCTTATCAGTGTAACTACCAAATTAATGAGTTAGACTTGCCCCGGTTACCGGTAGTTAGTCACTTATAACTTAGTGCTTTCAAGGTAGGACTTCAATGCGTTGTGTACTTTCAGTTGGTTTGGACTCGGAAATGAAACTCGGGAAATTTAGGAAACAATGTTAAAACGAAAACTAGAAATGTTGGTTGACTATTTTATTTAGAGATAACTTTTACGATTCGAACAAAAAAGACATTCGAAAGGACAAAGACAAAGAACGGACAGTTTTCTGAAGGTGCGGGCGGTTTTATAGTCCTACTAATTATTGGCACTCCCTGTGAGTTAGCCGATGAGCTTGATCATGCAACCAATAACATGACGTTTTTCCGGTGGTGATTCTAGGTAGCACTTCCAGCATCCACCGAACCGTATAATTATGGTTTTATTGGTTCTTAATTATGGAACTGCAAACTGAGATACTTGTTATTATTATTAACCAGAACTCTAGAACTAGCGGTATAGTGCTCATTGATTAATTGCAGCCGAAATTACTAATTTAGATTGTGACCTCCTATACTGTATACTAAATGATTTAATGCTACAGACTGTCCCATTTGTAAGCAGGTGTAAGGGGTCGTTCACATATTACGTAGTCAATATTTTATATTAGCAGAGCTACGAGTTGGGAATACAAGGTTTGGCAATGTCAATCAATTGATTTATTTAAGCGAGGAAGCAAGAAATGAGCCAGACTTTGCCCAATGTAATCTAAAAACAACTCTCCTGTCTCCTAACTCTTATATATTTATTTATTTCGGCTTTTAAACGCCCGCCAAAAGTAAAACATAAGTCATGTCACTTGTCATACGTAAGTGATATAATATGATGACGTCCTGTTACATATTACCTTGCTTGCTCGAATAAGTATTCAAACAATATACACATATTTTATCACAATGACCCTATTGTTCGCTTCTCTCACGTATTAAATGCGAGATACGTGCCAGGTTGAGGTAACCGTAATCGCTAATGTTCTAGCACAATGTCATGACACTGAGATCGTGCTAGAAAAATAAACAAGTTCATACTTTTATGACAAAACCGATGACGTAATTTTAGGAATGATCTCGGGGTTGATTTTAACTTTTACAAGTCTAGTTACCCTGGTCATTAGAAACACCCCTAGTTCGTTTTTTGACAACAAATTTAAAACTTCTGTAATTTCCTTTTTATTTTACCTTACAAGACATATTTATTTGGATCATAATTCTGGGGATCAAAATTATTGGGGAACGAAAATATGGGGATTTTTTTTCAGAAATACATTAATTCAGTACGAAATTTCAGAAATTTGGTACGAAAATATGGGGATTTTTTCCCAAAATCCCCAAATTTCGTACCATATAAATATGTCTCGTAAGGTAGTTATGCATTTGATTTTGGTATGCGTATAAAGAATCGATACGGCTTTGAAATGAGATGTTCAGCGACCTCCTAGCTTACTCACTAGTGACTAGACTCAGTAGGATTGATTGAACTGCGAGGGACAATGAAGGCTAACGAATTAGCTATAACCTCGTCACTTTCTCATGTTACGTCCATGATATCCAAGTTGCAAGTATAATTCAGTGATTATACTTGATCGAGATCTAAGCTTCGAATACTAGAGGTGAAAATGAGGCTAACCACCTTTTGAGAGGGTGAAATGAAGCTTTCAAGTATACTTTTGTGTATATTCTCGAGCAGGTTCGGTATTGTGAACACTTGCGAATTTGCTAGTGTTCATAACTTTTGAAAATTAGCTTGGGAAAACAATTGATAATAAAGAGTTGAATTAATAACCGTGAAGACAAACTTTATATTTACAAATATTTTGTACCAATGAAATAAAATAAAAACAATCAATGTAACAAATGAATCCCACCAAGTTATCTTCCCTTTAAGTTTAATAGACCCGGAGCTATTTTAGTGCATTGCAAACCATCATAAAGTAAAGTTAAATAACAGATAAATGTGATAACTCAACACGACAATTCCCAACAGCCCGGCATTGCAGCAACCTAAAATAGTGTGATATTTATATATTCACATCTACCTGTGAGACTAGACTGGAAGATGCTTCCTAAGTAGTAATACAATCGATTCTACAGAAATTTGATAGTTGGGGACGAAGTGAGAGTCTCCACTCAGTGTTTATGATGAACAGTTGTCAAGGTTTCGTCATACGTCTTTGTCATGGACGAGACGTTACATAACGTCTTACATAGGTACAGTTAAGAATGTTAAAATAAATTAACAATTAACAATGTCAAAATAAATTAACAATGTTAAAATAAATTGCAGCTATGTAAAAAGTTATTGTTAAGTCTCGTCCATGACAAAGACGTGTGACGAAACCTCGACAACTATTTGTTTTGAACCCTGAGTGGAGACTCTCATTTCGTCCCCAACTATCAAATTATATAATTCATTATAAAGAGCGAACAAATATTAATACTACGATCGTACAACATATTTAAAACTTTGACCATCGTCCCGAAGTAGCCCGAAAGCCAATCAGTCCTTTATATTACATGTGAAAGCGTTGTGATTATTATATCAACATATTGTATTGAATATTCATGAATCGTGCGATCTTTGAAGAGTCTTAAAGTTCCCTTTACCACAGGTTGTTCCCGCAGTTTGTTCCCACAGTTTGTTCCCACAGTTTGTTCCCTATACCACAGGTTGTTCCCACAGTCCCACTTTAGCTCAAATAATATGTACACTGCACTAGTCATTTCTTTGTTGCAACTTCCTTGACAAAGGCAATAATGACATCTTTCTGTTTCCCGTTTTCAACAGTTCTTAAACTCAGAACATTAGTCCAACTTTCCAAATTATACAGCTCCTCAGAACGAAGCTTATCATCAAATTCATTCCAAGAAAGAAAGAAGTTTTTTAGATTTTCCATGAGCGGGGAAATCCCAACTCGAGCTGGTCGGCAGGGTATCCTTCCTTGATTCTGATTCTGATACTTTCGCCAAAAGTTTAGGATCGAGTGAGATAGCAGCGTTCAGTTCCTGCGATATAAATTAGATTCAGTCACCAGCGCATTTCGCCAACAGTTTAGGATCAAGAGAGAAACCAGTATTCAGTTCCTGCGATATGAATAAATGTCAGACACCGGTAAAGTTTAACAGAAATTTAGATTAGGGTGAAGCAAGATAGCAGCCTTCAGTTCCTGCAATATAGATTTGAAGAGTTTCAAGGTAATTGTCAATATTACCAGTAAATTTGGTAACCGGAATAATTCTCAAATTCCATCATACTCCAAGTTAAAATGTATAGTAAGGGAAACAATACCTTTGCCTTCTGAAAGGATGACATGCAGGTGTCTAGAGAATTCTTCAGTTTCTCAATTGCAGCTTCGTTATCGAACTCTTCAGAATGTTTATTGAACCAAACCATCCCTTCTTTTTTACCTAAATTCAGGAGGATCAGTCATTTGTGCGGAATTTAAAAAGGGAGCCGGAGAAAAACTATGAGCCGTTCAGGCTAGATTTTATATCAGGCAACTTAAATTCACAGAACATGTAATATTAATTAGTGAAACACTCACAAATCTGCGCGGACAGGTCACCAGACATAATCATTCTCCGGAGTCGGTTCTCCACTTCCTGTACGGACAACTTGAGGTGGTTTGCCAGGGAGCTCAGTTTAAGGGACACAAAGGTGGACTGGAACTTCTTCACGTTCTTCTGGCGAATGTATTCCAGCGCCTGGGAGAGAAAATCAGTTATCAAGCTGTAAATACTGTTATTACTCACGATACACACCTAGAAACAAGGAAGATAAAGTACCAAAAAATGGATTATCCTCAAAACGGTAAACTCCTCCAAGTAACCTGTTTAGCCAGCCCCAGGTTGCTGTGTTTCTCCAAGAAGGGAGTCATCTGAGCGATAGTTGCTGCGAACTTCTCCGAGTCCTCCTCAGCCGCGATCTGCAACAAGTTGCCGTAGGGTCGACACAGGTGAGGGATGCTGCTGTGAACTGAGGGCAGTCTCACACTGAGACGACGTCCGGACAGGATGCTTATCAGAGTCAGCTTCTGGTAAGCCACAACCTGAGCGAAACTGATGAGATGACTGGAATGATACACAAATTTGGAGTAATTTAAACCTCCAAAATTCTATTCCTAGTCCAGCGTTGGAATAATATCATAATCAATATCATAATAGCAAGATCCAGTTGGCAGATTGGGAACGGTTTTAAATAACATGACGAGAAACCTGTATGGCTGATGTAGTCTGCTGACTCGGTACACTGAGGCAGATCTCAAAGAAGTGGAGAGCTCGAGAGAAGTTGCGGAGGGCTGCGTAGAGGGAACCTCCGTAGTAGTAGTATTGTAGTACATACCGGACATCCATTACCTGACGAGCAACATGTAAATATCCTCGTTATTACTTATTTGATTTAAATAACAAAGAGTTTTTAGAATTAACAAATCTTTCTTTCGTAATTTGGTGTCAAACTAAGCGAGGTTTGGGTTACATGACAAAGTAGAATTGTAGCCATTTCTCACCTCATCAGAGGAAATACTGGTGACATCGCAATCCAGAAACTTAAGAGCGGGAGAGAGTATCTTAGCAGCTAAACAAAGCTGTGTCATGTCAGAGTGAATACTGGTTAGAACTCCTGGCACATGACATTTAGACAGTAGTGACTCTACTATCGATATACCTGGGGATTGGAAAATGTTATTATTGTTACGGATCTACAATCTGCTTTATCAGTACATACACCGCACAGGGTCCATAAATACGAGGTTATTACACCGTTTTGATATGTGACCCCAAATGGCAAATTAAATGAGTTTGGGTCCAGGACTCTAGGGCGTAAGACTCTAGGGCGTGAGACTTTAGGGCGGCGCCCTAACCCTAACCATCACCCTAACCCTAACCCTAACCCTAACCCTAACCCTAACCCAAACCCTAACCCTAACCCTAACCCTAAGACCCTAGAGTCTTACGCCCTAGAGTCCGGACCCCATGAGTTTGGTAATGTAATATTATATTCTGCCTCAGAAACAATGATTGCACCGTCACCAACATCTGCCCCCCCCCCCCCCTCCAACATATTTTCTTACCTCTAACAGGGCAGTTCTTCTGTGTAACAAAATCTGTCATGTAATGAATAGCTTCAATAACATAAGATGGCACAGCTGCGGACCGCACTGAGTCTACTATTGCTATTGTACTGTTTAGCATCTCTTCGATGTTGTCCCCATGAGTTCCTTCCAGCAGCTGCTTCGCTCTAGGTGAGACAAATATAAATTACCAAAAACTTTTAAGTTGGGTAAAATACATGCCCTCCGTGAGGCTCGAACTCACGACCTTCAGATTATGAGACTGGCGCTCTAACCAACTGAGCCAGGTAGGCTATGGATATTACGGAAAGTTGATGTATCCAAAATTTAATATTTTACATTCACTTTCCCATTAGCACGGATATGCTGTTACGAAGTTTGGGATTTTCCATACCCATTTAGTGTGGTATGTCTGGTTTTCTACAGACTATAAAAGTTGCCATGTAACCTTGAAGCCTAGCTCTATCTCGATAAAATATGATCAGATAGCTGCGCTCGGTGCATGCGCGCGGCTCAAGCGCATGAAAAGATCTAGAGTACAAAAACTTGAAGCGCAATTTTATACAAAGTTTGCTAGTTTAAAAAGATGTTTTCGTATTTGCAGAGCACGTGTGGCACAGAGTACAAAGGAATAAAGGTTGAGTTAACAATCCCACGCAATTAATTGGTCGCAACCAAAGTTAAACACCTACGAAGTGTAGCAGTACCACGTAACTGATATTTGATCCCAGACTTTGAAATATGCAAGCACACCAGCAATATAAATCTAAAGCAGGGGAGTTCAACTAGAAGTGAGTAGTGCCTACCTTAGACTGATATCCGGGTTAGAATTGGAGTTGGTTGAGTCAGCCTCACCATTAACAGTTGGGGCAGCCTCGGCTACTGGTTCCTGAAGAAACAGTCGCCTGTTAACGTTCAAAGAAAATATCACGATGAAGAGCAAGGGCAGATAATTGATCATTTCAATCTCCAGAAAAAGTCGTTCGATTAATTTTGCAGGAAAATTCAGAAAATGAGAGCTTTCTTTTAGGTTCGACTAACCTCGACTGTGTCCATGGGGACTGAATTCTGTGTAGATGAAGGTTCTTCGACACTCATTCTACAAAGAAGATTCTTAAATCTACCGGTAAAATAATTCATGATGTACGATTACGTAATGTAAATGACATGTTCCGGTGTAATTTGATATTCTATGTCTGATTAAAGTTAATTTTCTCAGCAGACAAGATAACAGCCTTGCCAAAATGTTTTGATAACAGAACAAGAAATGATACCCTCATACTTTCGAAAATAAAAGAAAATTACATACAACAGTGACACTGCATATAAAGAAAAATTTTATAAAATAAATTAATTCTGAAATTTTGAGGTAGTTGTTATTTCAGCGCCACATGATAATGGTTACAACAGACAGCGTTAATTCCAACAACTTGCTTCACAGTTAAAATCCTTCGCCACAGAGAAAGTTTTCGGTCTACGAGAGAAATGGCAAAAGTCAAGGTCTTCAACAACGATTAACATGGTATTAAACATGTCCAAACATTAAATTATCATGGTCAAATAATAAGGCCGGCGTAGACATTGAAATATAATACAAAGGGCAGCTCGCCCCCTTAGCAAAGAGCCAAGAGGGCCCCCTCTGGAAAGGGGGCCCCCTGGGCAAGGTGCCAAGAGGGCCCCCTCTGGAAAGGGGGCCCCCTGGGCAAGGTGCCAAGAGGGCCGCGCGCACAATAATAAAAGGGCACAATACTACCGCATGTGGTAGTTGATACCCTCGTCAAGTTGCGAGTATTGACCCTCGAACTTGACGTTGATGTTAAAGTCCATATCCCTTCTGTTGCGGAGGTTGGGCTTCACGCTGAACGTGCCTTTAATCTCCTCGCCAGCGTTAACTGTCAGGTAGTCTCTGATGTAGAATACTGTCTGTTTCCAGTGAGTGTACGGGGCTTCAGGTGAGGTCGTGAACCCGATCTTCTTGTGGGATTTGCTGAAGTCAACGCTGAAGTAGGAGACGAACGCGTGGACGTAGTCATCACGACGACACCGCAGAGAGAAGTCAACGGTGAATTGGAGGTCTTCTATTTTGACTGTGTAGAGATCTAGCTCCTTTAGGATGCAGTGGTTTGATACAATCTGAAAATAGGGAGGATGAGGATGGAGAATAGGGAAGATACAATGCATATGGTTGTACAATTTCCTAATTCAGAGACGAGTTTAATTTCCGGTGGTAAAATGTCTACACACACATGAAAAGGAACCAAGGGTTGTACACCGGGCGTGTACAGTAGCGGTGTGTATAATAGCGGTGTGGTTAAAGCTGATAAACATGACAACACGAAACATATCATCACCGTTAAGGTCATTGCTAGTATGCAACTACATTACACTGTGCAACATATGTGTTTTTACAATGATCTGTGCGCGATGCAATGATTTTAGTGGGCTACACCTGTACCTTTCAACATTTTTTAATGATATTTTTATCATGCTTATGATTTATCACTGCAGTCATAATTTCTGATAATATGTTTTATCAACCGCTCAACGATATATTAATTTTATGTAAAATAATGTAAGTAATCTAAAGGAATCCCATTTTAACAGTTCCGTACGATGGTGACGTATAGCTCGCTCTAATACAGACTACTTAAGTGCTTATTTTAAGTCAAAAAGAAAACTGCGCTTTCACCGTACGAGCCATTTTCGAATTGAATTCCCTGTAAGTCTTCACAAAGGGTGGCATTTAATTAAAGGCGTCTATCTCTTACTTTCCTGTACTTTATATTTTCCACAGCTGTCTTTTCATGCATTTCATGAATACGCACTCTTAAATCAATTTGAACTTGGAACCGTACAATAGTCAAGTTTTGTTAAAAAAACGCGGACAGTCATCTTGACTGGCCAAGATCAAGAGAGGTTCCTCTGTAGTTTGTTCGGGCTAAGTTGATTAGCACAAATATAATAGTGACCCTGAAGCGGGAAGACTTCAGTATTTACTCTCAGGATGCCGCACTATTCGTATCCTTATTGCTTGTGTCTGCTCTTACAAAGTGGTAGATAATGAGTGTGTCAATTATCTTTCTGTGTGCAGGTCTGTTCACCATCAGCTCAACCACGGTGCGTTTTTACAGTTTAAAGACAGGAAAATACCAGACATGGGAAACATACCAGAAGTACAGAGGATCTCAAAACAAGCATCACTTGCACTGATACAGGTGCCGAACTGAAAGCTGACATCCAGCAGCTAAGAGAAGAAGTGGAGGATGTGAAGAGGAAGGGAAGTTCAGAGGTTGAGATAATAATCGGGAAGGAGAACAAGAAATGCGCTAAAGTGTGTGCTGGATCCACAGGAAGGAGCACAACTCAGTGGGGAGGTAAGGGGGGGGCGCTGGCTTAGCAACAGTAACGCTAGCAACTGTAACGCTGGCTTAGCAACTGTGTTTACAGACGTGGACATGACTAAATGTAGGTATGTTAAGCCCCCCACTGTTACCATCTCCCTGGACGGAACAGCCCCCTGGAGTCACTACACATCATTGGGGACATCCTCAGTGTCCGTACTATCTAATGGTGTGTTTAGAGTAGTGATAGAGAACATGATGCATGATCCACAGAGAGGGGTGACAGCAGCTAGTGGCTGGAATGTGGAGTGGATTGCTGCAGGATTCACTTGCTAGAACTTTCACTTTCACTTGCTAGAACTTTCTACTGAGAGGGTACTGTCGCATTTGTGAACTGAATGATCTTTGAAAATGTTCGATTCGTTTTTTTTTTCGAAAAAAAATATGGCAATTGTTGTCGATGGAATATTCTGACGGACATCAGTAATATGCATGGGAAGAAAATGCGTGGATACTCGTATAGTTTCTAAAAATATATAGAAATATATAGGGCAACTAAAAATAAATTAGTTGGAGATTGTTTTGTTATGTACGTGAATGTTCATGACATGAATATTGAATAATGGATATCAATAAGTTATAAATAACAGGAATCTATAATTATATAGCAAGCCTATGTTCTCCACGGACACAAAATACAATCATAATGTTCACGTTAGACAATATCTGATGCAGGTATCTGGTCATAATCGAGACATTTGTTTGACCGCTCGAAATTCATCATGCAGAATAAATCTACTTGAACTGACGTGATACTAATCGAGAGCACACATTTCAAGGGTAATGATCTGGTAATTTCCATGAAGTTTCTCGGTTGTCTTTAAATTAGTCGAGCTTAACATTTGCAAAGCTTTAATGCAGCTGTTTATACCATAACGGACATGTGAGTTTGATATCAAAAAGATGTTCGAGCCATGTGTTTTATTTGGCGGATTAAACTTAGTGAGCGAAGATTCTATTCCAATCAGTAGCCTAAGATACGGTCCAGGAGTTTTGAGGAAAAACGGCAGATTGTTACACACTTATAATCTGATTTAAACTGATACATCCTTAAAAAACATAGTAACTCCAGAAAATTAATTTCTGACGTGTAATGTTACGAGAATTTTATTTTCACTGTCCACTGTATCCCTCCATAAAATAAAGCGCCAAGCTAATCTAGACACAAACCTGTTTAGGATGCGCATGGAATCTCGTAAATAATGTGTAGATAAGCCTAAGTATGGCAGAGAAAGTTGAAAAATTGACTGACTGCTAAATTAATAGACCAACCAACACCAGCTGACGACGATTAACACATGTTTATTGAAAGCTTCTACAAGTTAAACCATCGTATCTCTTATATGTTTCTAACCCAACTCCATTTAGTTACACCAACCTGTTTGGGATCCACCACATCTACCAGAGGTTCGCAAAGAGCTATATCCTTGATGATGCTCATATCATATCCGTACACATTCTCCCACCAATGTATCTTACTCTCTTTGTACTCTCTGTCCTCGATAGCGCACAGATACATTGTTCCTGTTGTTTGAAACCTTTTTAGAATTAACTAATAACACTTCAGTAATAGTTCCGGAAACTGCTTGAACTTGAAATTATGTTTAGACGGAAACATTTTTAATTTTAAAACATTTTACAACTTGAATTATAATATAAGTTCACCTTTGTCGGGGAATAGGAGACCGTCTTCAGCCAGCCACTTGTCTCGAGCGAAGAGAACAGTTTCCAGCATAGACTCGTAAAGTAGACAGTACCCCATCCATTCTGAGATGATGATGTCCACCTTCTCACATGGCAGTGTTATCTCCTCGATCTTACCTTTTGAGGGGGTCTTAGTTATTTCACATCACTATAAATATAGTCTTAAAATTGTACAGAGTATTATATGACAGCAATACACTATAAAACCTACATTTAAAATATAAACTGTTTCTAATATTGAATAATCGTGCACCAAATTTCAAAATACTATACTCTAAATTACTTCCAGTGCAGTATGGACATTAAAAAAACCTTTGATGATTGTGATGGATTCTGACAGGTTGTTGACCTCAACAATCTTGGCAGCACTTTCAGCTATCTTGGAGCATTCAACACCGTAAACATGCTTAGCCCCTGCACGAGCAGCGAACATACTCAGGATTCCAGTTCCACATCCTACATCCAATACTATCTGTGGGAAATTTGCACGTTACAATTTATAATCATCCTACATCCAATACTATTTGTGGGAATTTTACACGTTAGTATATAAATTATAATGATGTCAGATGATATCAGCTTACCAGTTTAAACATAAAAAGAAACTAGAAACAAAGAGTGCGATTTATTCTAGGACTCTAATATACTTAGAACAAATTGAACAAATTGACCAAAAGTAAAACTAGGGTATAAAGTTTAGTGTTTGGGCAGGAGAGGTAACAAACCTTGTCTTTGAAGAGGTGTCTGTTCATCAACATACTGTTCTTGTAAGTCCTCGTTCTGACATTGTCCTTGATCATTTCCTCGTGGATCCCGAAATGAGCATAGGAGTCGAAGTAGTAATCCTGAAAATTGTAAACAGATTATCATCTTGATAGTACACTGCACTTTTTAATTTTGTCCTATTTGACGACATTAAACAGATTTCTTCGATTGCCTACACACTAGCGTTCTGCAAGTTTGCATGGCAAATAAAACATTAACATATACAGTTTATTACAGGCCATCTGAATGCTAAGTCACATTTATATTCACCTTGGAGGTAAGTTCTTCTGGTTTCAAGTCTTTAATCTCGCTCTCAATCTCTGACTTGGATTTATTGCAATCAACCAGGAGGAGTGGAACCTTGTTGGTATCCATTTGTGCGGCCATAGCTGTTGACCTTAGAGTGCAAAATTTATGATTTCTATGAATAAATTAAAATATCAGAGGGGATGCACGTAATCTGAAACTTTCTAGGGATAGAACAATGGATTAAATACAGTGTATAGAACGTGTAAATAGACAATATAACAGCTGTCTACTTTAAACCCTACTAGATATACAAACCCCATTAACAGTAATAGCTGTGATAAGTTTTACAAAACTGGAGAAACTGTTTCGAACAAAGGTTACATACACTTTCTCTGATGCAGATGTAGGGGTAGATCAACAATGGTAATTTAATTTGCATTCACAACTGAGTGTCAGATCCAAGAGGGAATGTTACTCGAGGCAGACTTCACCATAGAACCTTGCACTGAATACCCTTTAAGGAGTGAAAACCTAACCAGCAATATCAGTCACATCTCGACAAGGGAATGAACTGCAATCTCCCACCAGCGATCGTGCGTTTTGTTATTTTATTGGGTGACCTGACACCTCCACCGATGTCAGGAAAATAAAAGATCAATCAAAACCCTGATCACAATCAAGAAAGGCGCCGCAGAGTTTCAACGAGAATGGACATATCCTCGTAACCTAATCATCTGCTTAAATTACGTACACCTGTTGCGGATGTCTGGGGACTTTACTGTTTCGGCCAAAACCGTCATGTAAACAATAAATAAACAGGATACTAAAAACTCGCATTAACAATACAACAAACAAAACAAACAGACTCTTGGAGGGAAGGAACAACACAATCACAACTGGTAGTACTACTGACATATTGTAGCAATATTTAGATAATATTTCGAAATTAGCGCTCGATTTTCATCCATCTGTCTTAGATCTTAAACTCTAGTGCGCGGCACATACAGGAGTTTTGTTATTTATTGTTTTATAGGTATACAATTTAGTCTATACTTGAAAAGTTTAGAACAATAAACAAGTGATTTCAAAAATTTTAATTGTCTAGCTATGAGGTTAGGCACCCTCAGAAATGAATAAGCCAATACGATAAATGTACAAAATGGTAAAAATTTAGAAACAAAAAAAACCCTTTTTGTTTTTAATTTAAAAATTTTTTTTTAAGGAAAACAAAATTTGTTGCTCTAACCAGAGCCCTCTCGCTTGCAGTAGCGCGTGAATCAAGCGCGTCACGCAGTACGCGTATACACATGGCTATGTCTTACCTGGGGACCCAGGCTAATTATGTTTATTATAAACATAGAGATTAGGCGGCGCGGAATGACAGGCTGAGCGCGGCCCAGTGAGGCTATGTCATATGTGAACAAAATTTGTATTTACAATTTATCACAAACCAAGCAATACATATTATATTATATTCATAGATAAATTCAAATTTGAACTTCAACGCAACCGTATTCACAATATAAACAGCTTGCCGCGCACACAAACACACATCGATGAAAAAATTTTAAAGATTAAAAATAAATTCCATTTACATATTTTCGATCAAAACATTTTAATTTCGGTTACTGTTAATTCATGTTACAAATGTTGACGTTGATGTAGGTTGATGACCTACCAAGACGCCGCGCGTGCCGAGTTGGAATCGTCGATGAGACAAATACTTTACAAGTATCACCCGTGGCCGTTAAATTTTTAAAAATTATCGACAGAACTGTGAACTGGCTCCCCGCTTCCTCAATTCTTACTAAAACTTTCTAGTAACATTTCAAAAAAAGCAATCATTTGCAATTCTTTTAGAAATCATATTTTTCTTAAAACCTTCTAATTTAATTTTAAAGCCTAAATACTGTAACAAAGTTTTTGACACCGGAGAGGGTTTGTTTTAATATGGAATAACTTGCTCCGGGAGAAAAGACTAGATATTATTGATTTTAGTTAAACTTTTACTTCATCTGTTGCTTGAAACAAGATCAAGACTTGGAGGACTTCGCCGCTTCGCCCCGCCGCGCAAACTAGTATTCTTGCTTCGCATCGTCGATCGTTAATACTCTGCGTCGCAGAGCAACGATCTTGATGGGTTGACACCGCCAATCAAGATCAAGACCAACAACAAGGTACAAAATACAAAGGCAGGTCCCTCCCGAACGTTGGGATGGCCTGAGGTGCTTTTCTCCTTTTCAGTAACCCTAAGCCACTCTGTACCGAGGCACTATACTAGCTGTAGGGGTGTTACTCCTACAAGCCAGAGACTAGAGAGTGTCTATCACCATCCGAAGCTGTACCAAATCACAGCTTGGTAACTGGCCGACTTGCATCCGACCGGATTTGAACCCGGGTCTACGGCTGATATGAAGTGAATATTGTTTGAATATTTTTATCTCTATAAAAATTAAATCAAGTGATGCAGTTGGCAGAGCACAATCATAAATTATGAGCAATAAATATGACGAAAAAACTACTCATCACCATGCTTACTTGGAAGGCTGAAGGAGACACTGGATATAGGGGCGATCGCCAGTCCATGCCTTTTTTGTCAGTTGTCTTCCCACGTACACCTATTACTGCTACTAGCATACTCCTTCTGATATCCTTACTCAGGCGTATCCTGATGTTACACATCACCTGGCTGTAGTCCTCCTTCGTCTTGGCAGCCATCAACGCAGCAGGTCTCCTATTGAAACGCTTGGCCTCAGGTACCATTCCTTCCATTAGTGGTAAATACAAGCCCGGAAGAATGACCCTTTCTCCAGTTGTAGCACTCGATTCATATGCTGGTTTTTCTTTCCCTTATCGTGCAGGGTGTAAAGACGTGGCTTGTTCTTTGTTGATGACAAATTAAGTTGGAAACCACACATACAATCTCTTAACAAAAAACTAAGCAGTGCTTGTGGACGTATCTACCGTATTAAGAAATGCTTACCAGAATCACTATATAAACAAATTTACCATTCTCTCTTTGAATCACATCTCAGTTTTGCTATTTCTGTCTGGGGAGGTATTCCTAATATCCAGTTAAAACCACTATTTATTACCCAAAAGAAATGTATAAGAATTCTATTTGGAGACCATAAAAGGTATGTAGACAAATTCAAAACATGTGCTAGAGTTAGACCGTTTGGCTCCCAACGTTTGGGGTGCGATTTTTATGTTAAGGAGTCTACCAAACCTCTATTTGCAAAACATAAATTACTAGCTGTAGAGAACCTATATAGACTACGTTGCCTAATGGAATTCTTAAAGATAATTAAGACAAGAGTACCAATTTCAATGTTTTCTTTGTTCACGATATCTCATAGGAAAGACAATATGTTAATCACACCTTCTCCAACTAAAAAATTTATCTATAAATCAGCATGGCTGTGGAACGAATTTTGTAAAATTGGCTCATTTAATTTTAATTCCTCTTGTTCTTCTGTTAAGAATAAATTACAAAAGTCGTTGATGAATGCCCAAAACAGGTATGGTGCTGAATGGAATGACAAAAATTTCACTGAATTCTAAGTTAAACACAATATAATCCAGGTATCGGCAGGCGCTGCCGCCAAACGACATTATCATGGATACACTTCTTTATTTTCAGCTGCTAGTATGTTAGCTCGCTTAACAAGGCGCGCTAGCATTTTACCGCCATTCTAGGTTTCACTGATTACACAATATGTCCAATTTGATTCTAATTGTTGCTCCTAATCTGATAATTCTAATGACAGTGACTGCTCCCTATTAACCAACCGACCAACATTTTCGGGCGAACCCTAAAATTACTAATACCAAATTTAAACCCCACATATGCGTGTATAGTCTCCAAATCTTCTCTCTGCTCTCGGACTTTGTTCTTTTGAATGGAACTATTTGTATACTTTAACAAATAGTGATTTTAACTTTGAGATAAACTGCTATATTATTATATTTTTGTACCAATGTTCACCTAACTTAACGTCTCTCACTGACACCATCGCCCGGCAACCAATTTTAAAGTAAAATTTATTAACGATCTGACTACAGACTGGCGATCAACGTTCCCCGTATAGTAGCTCAACGGAGGGGGTAATCAGGGCACGTGTTAATGAAAAATGTATGTGTCCTTCCACAATCCCTTCTGTTGGGTCACACGTTATTGGGAACTGAGACCGCTATCGTGTAACTAGACTAGAAGCAGTATATGCAAAGTAACTTAGGTGATAGGTGATAGGCAATATGAAATTACACATCTTACTTTAACTTTATCCCGTCACCCATGGACTTATCAATTAAGGGCTGGTGGTGGTGTCATCGTTTGTCGTACTCAAAACGTTTCGCGGTTGCGAATGCAAGCCCATCGTTTGTTTGGGGACCGGTTTTTGGTACACCGGCCAATGTTTACAAAATCATATGATACATAACAATATAATTGTATTTAATATACGTGAATATTAGAATAGAAATGAAATCTTAAATTTCTATTTATTCCCTGAAATTGTTACTATAGTTCAAAATAAATTTATATGATGAAGTCTACTATAAGAATATATATGAAAGTCAGACCTGCTTCGCGAAAACTAACAGTTCTGTGTGCTAACAGATCCTGACTGATACTAATTTACACTAACTAACTAAGTAACTAATATTCTTAACTATCTAAAAACCAACTAGCTAGCGTGTGTGCTCGTAGAGCAGCTTAAATAATAAAATATGAGCCACAGTTCATGCTGCCTAAATCTCCTCACAAAATACTGCATTGTAAAAAAACCCGTTAAAAACGGTTTATAGAATACAACGGCCACCACTCACACCAAATTAAAATACATACTATGTAAAAACTACACTGTATCTGGTATCACCACGCGTAGATAACGAAAGTGAACATAACATACTAAAGTTCATAAATTCTGATAACAAGTCAGTGTACTTGTAGATAAGGCTCTAGCTCTCACTAACACAATTAACTTTATTGTCTCTGATAAAATAACGCTTGCTATTGTCCTGCTTTATTAGTTCTTTCATCTGTTTGACAAGTCCACTGTGTAGTATTCTCTGCTCCCTTGTCCTATCCGGTGCAAGATAAACTGACTTAAAATCATCATTTGTTTTAAGTTTGTGTGCATTCCTTA